GGGCTGGCGGGGGGGTGAGTTTGGAGGATGGATCCTCCGTGATGCTGCTGGAAGCCTCACACAAGGAGGTTAGTGCCGCGCGGAGAGAGCACAAGGCCATGTCCCAAGCGTTGAGCAAAGCCCATCTGCACACACAGAACACGGGGGGAGGCCGGGCAAGAGCTGGGGGGCAACTGCACCCACGGTGCCGGTGGGGAGGGCCACGGAAGAAAGGTTCTTGGGCTGCGGGGGTCCGGGGCCAGGGACCGGGGCCGAGAGGGGCTGGGGAAGGTTCGGGGTTAGAGGCTGGCTTCACACAAAGGAGCGAGCGGCTGGAAGCCGGTTCGACGCCGAGAGCCAATCACGGCGGCGGCCCCGCGATAAAAGGGGTGGCGAGGAGCAGGGGGAGCCCGCAGGAAGCGGCTCCTGCTCCCATAGCCCGGCCTCTGCAAGGCGGGGGGAAGGCGGCGGGGACACCCGGCCCCACCAGCGCAGAGCCGGAGCCCGGCGGAGCCACCCCGGACCGGGGCGAGAGCCGCCCGCAGCGCCGGGAGCAGCGCGCTGACGGTGAGGCTGCGCCCGCGGAGAACAACGGGGCCGGGAGGCAGCGGGAGACAATGATGGACCCCGAGGGGTGCGGAGCCAGGGCATCGTCAGCCCCGGCTCTGCTCCGGGGCGAGGGGAAGCGAGAGCGAGGGGGGGGAAAGGGATGGAGAGGAGGGAGGAGGAGAGCCCCGGGCAGCGGCACCGGCGGCCAGGAGCCACCCAGCAGGTGGGGGCTCAGCCCCTGCACGTCCCACCCTGCTGCACCGGGAACTTCTTGGCTTGGGAAAAGGGACTCGGCGGAGGTGATGGAGGGAAGGGGATGTGGGGTGGGGGACACACACACACACAAAGGGGCTGTTCTGGGCCCTGCGTGGCCTCGCTGGGGTCAGGCGGGGGCAAGGAGGTGCTGTCTGAGCTCTAGGAGTGATGCTGCTGACGGGGGAGAGCACCCCGTGCCCTGTGTGAGCTGGGGGGGCGAGAGGTTCGCATGCAGGGTACCGGGGTGGCAAGAGCAAGAGGAGGCCTTGAGGTTGCTGGATCTGCTGCTGCAGGCATCGGGGGTGCGGTGTTTTGGGGCTCAAGCCCCCCCTTTGGGCTGCAACCCCCTCTTTGTTGTGTGCTGCAGTACGTGCTGGAGGGGGGCTGGACAGATCCATGTTATTAAGCTGATCAGAAAGAGCAGAGATGGAAGAATACCTGTTAGATGCTGACTTCCTTATCCCCGTTCGTTCCTGCCTGCTCATTCTCAGTGCTGAGTCTCCCACTGCCTCACCCTGGCTTTAAATCTTGCCAGGGACAGGTCCAGGGCTTTCACTGCTTCCCTTGGGATGCTGTTGCACGACTGGGAGGTTTAATAACAACACGAACACCCTTCAGAGCCAGGGCTCACAAAGGAGAGCAGCTCCGTGCTCATCACTGAGGCGAAAGGAGCACCCTCTGCCAGCAGCAGCACAGCTGGGAGTCAAGCCCAGGTCTCCCAAGTCCCATCCTGGTGCTGTCACTACCCTGTTCTGAGCCAGTCTGATCTGTCTGATCCCTTTGGATCACTTGAAAGCAGCTCAGCCACCTCGCAGGTCCTGTCTGTTGGTTTTGTTCATGGGGGGAGCATCAGTTCTGCCAGAACGTGCTAATTCAGCAGCCTGGATCATCCCTTGGCACCTGGGCTTTGTCCCCCAAAGGCATCGTGCGAGGGATGCACAGGGGAGACATCTGGTGCCCCAGATGTGCAGTTAAGGCCAGGAGAAGCACATCTGCAGCATTATACATGTAGATGACAACATCATTGCAGTGCAACCCATCAAGCCTAGGCTGAAACAGCTCCAGTCTAAATGGGAGCCCTGCAAGAAGCCAGTTCCCAGTTAGGGTCTGTCAGGAAGAGCTTTGCAAAGGGACCGGGTGCATCTTCACACAGCTCAAACCCAGGGTCCGACCTTTCCTGGTCAGCAAAGATCCCACCAGGCTTCTCATTAGGGAAGGGAGTTCCTCTTCTGGCTTCCTTCAGTCCCATGAACCTACCCCCTGCTCCTACACGGTGATGGAGTCACTGCTGTTCCTTCTGCCCACCCTCAGCTTCAGGAGGGTTGTTGTCCATTGTCAGGCAGCGATGTTCCCCCAGAGGTGCCTGCCTTTTGCTTTCCATTTGTGTCATTCCTCAATGGGGAACGCCATCTGGGGGTGCTGCAGAGCTCACCTTGCTGTCGGCAGGAGCTCTGGGGTGGAAAACGTGGGATCTGGGTGAACGGATGGCTGAAGCGAAGATGAAGCACACTCTATGCGCATCCCTTGCCCTTGGTGTGCCCACAACCCTCTCCGATGGCCAGCTCAAGGTACTGGACACAAGGAGCCTCTGCAGCCTCCAGTGTGCCTCTCCGGGGCTTGTGTTTCCCACTGCTCCACTGAAATCCCACGGCCTTGCAGAGCACCAGATCCCATTCTGGGCATCATGGGTCCTAAAAGGGAGAATGGAAGTGACAAACAGGCAGAGCAGCTCAAAAAGAGGGATCCTTTGAGAGATTTAACCTAGAACATGATTTTGGTGGCTTTTGGGGACACTTGGACACAGCAGCTTCACAGTGGTACAGAGGCAGGGACCATGGGATGTGGCTGTGCTGTGTTTTGGGGTGCCTGGGACAGGAATTGCTCCTGCTCCTGCTGTGGCTGCTGATGGCGAAGCAACAGAAGCTCTCAGAGCTACTCCACATGGGAAGTGCCAGTCCAAAGCCTGGTGATATTCCACGTGAGATGAGCCAACAGAACAGGGGCAGGTTACGTTTGGGAAAAGAGGGATTTGTAGGCAATTACAGGTCCATTAACTGGAGTGCAATTAAAGGTGAGCTTCTGGAATGGGATTTGAGAGAGTATTCAAAGACATGGTGCTGGGAAGCAGAAGTCTTTAATGCAGATCATGCCAAGCTGGATCAGTATCTTCCTTGTGTGTGACCTGAAACAACAGGGCCTCATGAACCTGGATTCAAGACCGGCACTTGATGGGGATGATTGTTGTAGGTGGAGACAGGAAAGAGGCAGCCAAACAGAAGGAGGACACTTGGATCCTTCCCAAGGGGGAGAGCTAAGGCCTGAAGTTGGTACCAATCCCTTTGGAAGGTGGGAGAAAAAGGCTGAAGAAGAGTTGGGCAGGAACATGGGGAGCTGCTGGAGCCTGGGGGGAGCTCAGCAAAGGGAGGTCAATGAAGCAGAAAGAACAGTGAGGATTTCTGGCAGAGGTGATAAAGGAGGAGCACATCAGGCCAGATGTGTTCGGATGTGTTGTGTGCTGCTCAGACCATAACACAAAGGTCTGAGATCGCCTTCGGTGTGGTGCGTCCAGGCCAGCTCACCTCCTGCCAGGCGGTGCTGTAGGAACCTTATGAGAACAGATGCAAAGGAATTGGCTTCTCCTGCTGAAAGAGACTGATCCAGAATGATTCCTCTGGAGGAATCCCCCTGAGGGGCAAATACTATGGTGGGAGAAGAACCAGGAACATAATGCTGGTATCACGGTCAGTGGAAATGCATTAATGCTGGAAACCAGAGGGTGATGCTTCCAGGTGGAGCACGGCTTATGGAAGAGACTATGGAAAACCTGAAAAGAGAAGGGAAGGGACATGAGCTGTTTGCCTATCACGCTTGTTTGCCTCAGGAGAGACAAGAGAAGGCAGGGAGGAAGGTGGGAGAACAGAGGGGGTGAGAAAGGGGCTTCCCCCGGGCTCCCCCTTTGCTTGTGTGGGACTTCCACTGTTGCCCTGCCAAGGGCCCCCTGTTCTTCCCCGCTCCCTCAGGAGCAGTTATTCCTGAAGATTCCTGCCCACCGGCAGCCTTTGAAGGGGCACAGAACGTGGAGCAAAGCGGGTTAACGGGCCGGGATGCTGGGAGGCGGCTGTGCCCTGGGGCGCAGGGACGGGTCCGTGCGCCGGGGATGCTCTGCAGCAGCCTGACGCGCGGGGCAGCGGTGCCCCCAGAAGCGGCCTGGCCGCTCCTCCCGTGCCAAGCCAACAGGGACCTGCCCTGGGTCCCCGCAGCCATCAGCTGAAGCCACAGCCCGAAGCTCCCCGTGCTCCCAGGATGGAGGAGGAAGGGGCCCAGATTTCCCCCCCCCCCGTGCTTTGCCTTTGGGAAAGCCTCTTGCAATGGTGCAGTGATCCCAGCAGTAACCTCACACTTCACAGGGCTGCTAATGGGAACCAGATGGCAGCGAGGGGCCTCTCTCCCTCTGCAGTCGCGCTGCTTTCCTGTGCCGGAAACCCATCGGCTTTCCGAGGGGCCATGGGGCTGGAGCCGTGCGACTGAGAGCTCCCGGGATGAACATCCCCAAACTGCCCCCGGGCCATGGGGCTGGAGCCGTGCGACTGAGAGCTCCTGGGATGAACATCCCCAAACTGCCCCCGGGCCATGGGGCTGGAGCCGTGCGACTGAGAGCTCCTGGGATGAACATCCCCAAACTGCCCCAGGTGGGTGCTGAGCAGGAGCTGCGCCTGCTCTCACACAGACAAGCTCCAGGCCCCAAGTCCTGGCTCAGAATCATCACAGACAGAAGGGGTTGGAGGGGACCATCTGAAGATCATCTCGTTCCAAGCTCCTTCCGCTGCAGCAAGCCCAGCTCCCTTTGGACAAAGGGGTATTTCGGTCCACACAAGCCATCAGATGCTCCCAGGAGGGGCAGGAAGAACCAAGGGGATCTCGCCTCGTCCTGAGCCATAGCCCGGGAATTGCCCAGGAGAGGACACTCGGTCCTGCTCTTCCCAGGCTGTGTCGATGGCCAAGAGCCTTAGGGAGTAGAGGCTTGGAGAAGTCGGATGTAGCAGTTACGGTGCCAGCCTCCACTGTGGAGACCTGGATGTGGCTTTCCTGCTTTGCCCCAGGTGCTCTCTGCACTTGTGAAGGCTCCGTGCCACCGCCGGGGCCCCGTGTCCTTAAGCAAAGCCTGGGCCACTGGGGCTCCTGTGCTGATGGGGACTGCCTTGGGCTCAGATCCCACCCCGAGCGCACGAATGCCCCCTTGGAAGAGCACTGAGAGCCTCCTGGTGTGGTTTCTAACTTGTTGTTTCCCCTTATCGCTTCAGCACAGCCTTCCCCCTTGAGATTTCTGCTCCTTCCTCGTGCCCTTGGGCAGGAAGGACATTCAGCAACTACTCACAAGCAGCTACACGGAGGGGACCTCTCGCTTGAACCGAAGGCTGGGAGAGCACAGCGGGTACGTGCACAGGGGGGTGTTAAGAGAAGGGAGAGCGGGAGGATGGGGCTGGGTGGGGAACGTCAAGCCATGGGGTGGGATGGCGTGGAAGGGAAGAGGGTTTGGGGAAGAGAAGCAAAGGGATGAAGAGGTGGAAGGAGCCTGTGTGTGCGGATGGGGAAGGGCTGATGGAGAGAGTGGGGAAACTGAGGGGCTGGGAGAGGGGAGGAAGATGAGGTGCAAGGGAAGAGGGAGGGAAGCTGGGGGTGGAGAAGTGCTTGTGGCAAAGGCAGGGGCGAAGGGGGAGGGTTCTGCACCCACGTCAGAGCGTGTGAGCAGGACACCAAGCTCTCTGGGTGCTCCAAGCTCCCCTTGGGGTCTGCGTTGGGCTCTAGGGACCAGCCAGAGCCTGGAGGCACGAGGCCCATGGGCCAGCTCTGCCCTGGGCCCCAGCACCCTCCTGTGCCTGCCACCCCCTGCAGCACACAGGAAACAACAACGCGACCGCAGGGTGAGGGAGGCTGTGCTGAGCTGAGCGCTCGGGGGGGCGGATGGGGGGTGGGATGAGGGGTGTGCAGCCCCCAGCACGTCCCCACCATTCCTTCGCCTTCCCCTTGCTCTGCGCCTCCCTCAGCATCGTTTGCTCAACCCCACAGCTCTTGCACGAGCAAACCGGGGCTCCTCAAGCCTCATCTTTTCTGGGTGTTTTGAAGGCGAGGGCAATGGGGGAACCCCCCTGCGGCGCCTCTCCAAGCAGTTACTACCAAAAGGGGTTACTTGTGATGCTGCTTGGGGTTTTGTTTGCCTTTTCTCTTTCCTGTGCTGTGTTAACGCTGCTCCAGGACCAATCCCCTTCCACATGTGAGCAGAAGCCAGCACATCCCCTTCTACTCGTGTTTCCATCACCGCTCTCCTGCCCTTTATCTTCGTACGGGACTAGAGGAGGGTGATGGTTTTAAACTAAAAGAGGGAGGTTCAGGCTGGACGTGAGGAAGAAACGTTTCACAGTGAGGGTGGTAACGGCACAGGTTGCCCTAGGAGGTGGTGGGGACGTCCAAGGCTGGGCTGGACGTGGCTCTGATCCAGTTAAAGATGTCCCTGCTCACTGCAGGACGGGATGAGCTTTGAAGCTCCCTTCCATCCCAAACCATTCTATGGCTGCAGGACTATGGGTACGGAGCCCGGTGCCCACATCACCTTCCAGCTTCCTATGAGCTGTGCTCCAGACCTGCACCTCCTGCCCACATCCAGCCTCGTGTGCCTCCAGCTCCTGGCTCCCTCCAGCAACGCAAGAGGCTGCACGGAGCCCATGGAGGAAGCACTGAGCACATCACCATTGCACACCGGCCCTCGGGGTGATGAAACCAGCCCTGCTCCTCTTGCCGTTTCCTTTCCAGGTGTTGCAAGGGGCTCGTCTCGGGCGTCTCCGCAGGGCACATCGCCCCCCGGACATCAAGCTCAGGATTAAACAGACGGAGGAGGGCAAGGAACCATGTTCCAGGCCACGGGACCCCCCAGCTCCCCCCCAGCTCATGTACGTAGGGGTTTGCATGGGGTTTGGCCCGCGGGGGTGCTGTGGATAGAAGCTCTATTCCGGCCGTTTTAGGGTGATCAAAGGCACAGCCGCTGCTTCTCGCCCCCCAGGACGGGGGCCAGGAATGTTCCAGCAGAAGGTGCTGTTTGCTGAGCCCATCCCCTTGCTCCTCACCCTGCTCCCTCGTTCTGTTTGTTTGTGTTTCCATGGCTTTCCAAGAGCACAACTGGGAGCACGCGAGGCTGCTCGGGCTTGGGGATGGAAACCAGACGGGCTCCAGAACGCGTCCTGCTGGGACAGGATACGGCCCTTTCCCCGCGGGAGCACGCAGCAGATATCAAGCAGATAGCGCTGCCTGCTCGGAGCCGGGAGGCTGCCCAGAAGTGATGAGCAGCAGTGGATCGCTGGAGCCTTGGGAACGGATGTGTCCAGCTCCAACGAGGCAGCGCTTTCCTTAGCTCGGGAAGCGGCGCATGAAACCCCAACCCCAGGAGAGCACCTGCGGCTGCCTTCCCAGTGCCAAGGGATGCAACCGGTTTTACATGGCCCGAGCGTCCCCGCTGCCCGTGTCCCCCTTGTTGACTTTGGCTCATCCTTCCTTGAGGGAAGGAGAGGGAAACCAGCATCCCTGACCTCAGTCAATGGGAGCAGCTGGGAAACGTCTGAGGAGGCAGCGCAGGGAAGTGAGAGCTTCCTGCGCCTCCACACCAGCGATTCCCAAAATACAGAGGAGAAACAGCGGGGAAGGATGAAGCAGGAGGGAAAATCAGCCTGGGGCCAAGCAGAGCAAGAGGAAGGAGCAGGAGGCAGCGGGGCGATGCTCTGGGATCACCTCGGGAACAAACAGCGCAGAGTGGTTCCTGGGCGGTCCTTGCTGGAAGTGGGTTTGCCTCTTTGCTCCTGTTTGACAGCAGGGAGCATCACCACCAGCACAAAGGCAGCTTCAATGCGTGCCACGGTTGGCAGGGACCCAGTGAGTGCACAAACAGCTTGGGAGGGTGCAGGAGTGTGGGGAAAGTGAAGGGCAGGGGCAGGAGGTGATTTGGGACGAGCTGCTGCAGATGGGAGAACGTGCACTGAGGGCACCTCAGCACTTGGAGCTCTGCCCTACTGCTCCTCCATCCATGCCCCCCATCCCTCCTGCATCCACCATGGACACGGATGGATGCAAGGGCCTGCAGGGGCTTTTCCATCTCAGCCGTGGGGCAGGATGTCCCGTGGTGATGGGCTGATAACGGGGCTCAGAAACAACACAGCTGCTGAGGGGAACCAGCACAAGAGCTCCCTGAGAGCGAGGGGCAGCCCAGCTGGGCATGAGGACGGCATGGCCTTGGCAACGGAGTTCAGAGACAGCCACCATGCAGGGACAGCCAGGTCCTGCCTGTCCCCATCCTCTGCTGCTCCTCCTCCAGCACAGCTCAGCGCCAGGCTTCTCAGTGCTGGCTTTCATCCTGATTTCTCTTCTCCTTCCCTTGGCAGGAGGCAAAGAACAGCTCAGGAGGCAGCACCGTGCAGCGCTCCAAGGTACCTGCGATTACCGCATCCTCCACTGCAAGGAGGGAAGGACCAAACCCCATCCTATCATTCAGCAGTGGTGCAGCACAGGGAGGGTGACGGGAGATGGGGAAGCCTCACATAGAATGGTAGAATGGTTTGGGTTGAAGGGACCTTCAGTTCATTCGGTTCCACCCCCTGCCACGGGCAGGGACCCTTCCACTGGAGCAGCTTGCTCCAAGCCCCTGTGTCCAACCTGGCCTTGAACACTGCCAGGGATGGGGCAGCCACAGCTTCTCTGGGCACCCTGTGCCAGCGCCTCAGCACCCTCACAGGGAAGAACTTCTGCCTAAGAGCTCATCTCAGTCTCCCCTCTGGCAGGTTAAAGCCATTCCCCTTGGCCTGTCCCTACAGGCCCTTGTCCCAAGCCCCTCTCCAGGTTTCCTGCAGCCCCTTTAGGCACTGGAGCTGCTCTAAGGTCTCCCCTTCAGGATCCTTCTCTTCTCCAGGCTGAACAAGCCCAATACCTCACCCAATGGCAGTGTGGATATCAAGGAAGAGGCTGTGGGGGAAGCCAGGCACAGGATACCCCAAACTCCTTCCTCATCCTCTCTCCCTTCGCTCTCCCCTCCGCAGTCCTTCAGCCTGAAGGCACAAGTGAAGGAGATGTGCACTGCCTGCCAGAAAACCGTGTACCCCATGGAGCGGCTCGTGGCCGATAAGTTCGTCTTCCACAACGCCTGCTTCTGCTGCAAGCACTGCCACACCAAGCTCAGGTGAGCCTGAGCGGGATGCGGCCATGGTGCTTGCTGTTGGAGGGGTGGATGGATGGCAATGGGGTACCCATGGATGGGGGAGGCCTCTCCAAACAGTCCACCCATCACGTTCATGTGATCCCCAACACATTCATCACAGCAAAAACCAGGGCTTATGTGCCCAACTGGTCCCAAGTCCCAGCTGGACCATAGGATGGTTTGTGTTGGAAGGGACCTTAAAGCTCATCCAGTTCCAACCTCCTGGCACAGGCAGGGACACCTTCCACCACACCAGGTTGATCCCAGCCCTACATCCCCAGTCCATAGCCCCTCTCCAGGTTTCTTGCAGCCCCCTTAGGCACTGGAGCTGCTCTAAGGTCTCCCCAGTCCCAGCTAACCCTGCTCTCCTTCCCCAGCCTGGGCAGCTACGCGGCGCTCCACGGCGAATTCTACTGCAAGCCCCACTTCCAGCAGCTCTTCAAGAGTAAAGGCAACTACGACGAGGGCTTCGGGCGCAAGCAGCACAAGGAGCTGTGGGTGCACAAGGAGGTGGAGAGTGGGACCAAGTCGGCGTGAGCGGGGCCTGCTCAGCCCTCCCTGGAGCACCGGAACGGTGCCGAGCCGGGCGCTAACTGAGCTGATGTAAAGCAAAGGGGACCCAAGGGTGGTGAGGGTGGGAGGCAGCACAGCCCTCTCTGGAGGATGTATAGAGGGGTCCTATAGGCCACAGGGGCAGAGGTGACCAGGGGACAGCCTCCAAGCCCCAACTCCGGAGACCAGACCGGATGCCCAGCCCTGCACAGGCATTTCAGGTTTGCCACCATGGATAAAGAGATGATCTTGGAGGGGCCTTAACCCATCCTCTAAGTCAGAGCAGAGCTCCCAGCTCCTGCCACACCAATCCTGCCTTGCTGGGGCTCTGGCTAAGGAGGGTCCTTGGTTTACATCAGCTCAGTTCAGCTGGGAATGTTCAGCCTTAAGGATGTTGCCCTGCGACTCTTTCTCTCTCCGTCCTTTTCTATCTGCCTTCGGTAGGTCCTGCGCCAGGCGCTCTCTTATTTTTGTAATACAAGGTTTCTGAGCCTGCGCTGCCTTGTCCTGTGTTCCGGGGGCTGGGGAGCTGGGAACAGTGCTGCGGGCTGCCTCTTACCGCCCCGGGACTGGGGACAGAGCCTCTGTCCATGCGGGATCAACAGGTATTCCTGGGTACGTGTGTGCAGTGCGAGGATGGAGGCAGAGCGGTCCTTTGGGGCATGAAGTCTGGTTTCAACCTGCACAGCAGCTTCCACATGGAGCCCAGACCACTCCCAAAGGGAATTCTCCATCCCATGAACTAGATCCACCCCTCTGCCCTGCACACATTTTGTGGCTCTCTCCCCATATCAATATCAATGGGCCCAGCCTCTGCAAGCAGACGCTGCCTCCATTCCCTCTGGGCTGACTGGTGCAAGATGAGCTCTGGTCTGGATGAAGCCCGTCCCTCTGGACCGTCTCCAACAGGTCTGTATTTACCGCCTTCCTCCACACGATGTGTAAGCCTTGCCTGGGGGAGCAGGCATTCAAGGAACCCCTCATCTTTCACATGCTACAAGAATCGGGCTTTTCAGAGCCCCCAGAGCCTTCGGCATCCCAGCAAGAGCCTCTATTCCTTCACCAGCCGATAACATCAGCTCCCACGGATGGAGAGAATCCAGAACCAGCCACAAAACCAGGAGCAGAGAGAACCGGATGGATATGGATGGTCCAGAGGAGCCCAGGAGGAACTGAGGGTACACAGAGACACTCTTAACCCAGGCCACAAGTCCCCTGGGGCTCAGAGACGCATTGGGTGACCCCAGGAGCCCCATGTCCCTCATGGTGGATAAATTTCATCTCCTTTAAGAGGCCAGGACCGTGAGCCCAGCAGGGACTGCACACACAAAGCCTGGCAAGGCTCCCTGAGCTCCAGCCTCACCAAGAGCTTTGGCTGTCCCCGTGGTGCAGGAGCTGCTCCTCACATCAAGGCGCAGCCGACACGGTGACAGAAGCTGCTTCCTGCCCATCACCGCATCACTGCTGGGATGAACCAGGACCTGCTGCTCGGTGGTGCTGGGCGCGTTGCGGCCTCTTCCTGCCGAAGGTTGCCCTAGAAAACGAAAGCAGGCTCCTGGGTTTCGCTTCCTGTTCCTTGCTGGCCTCACTTCCCCATCCCTCGCCTCGCCTGCCTGCTGCTCTTGCCTGCAGAGCGGGGCCCCCAGGTCCAGGGCGGGTTGAACTGCACCAGAGCGCTTCGGGGAGGGACAAAACCTTCTTTAAGCAAGAAGAACAACAAGGGTCTGGTTCAGTCCTTTCCTCCCCAGCATTCGGAACCGTGTCTAGAGACAGTAGCACTCTAGTACTACTAGTGCTAGTAGTGCACTAGTACATCTCTAGGGCTGCCAGAGCTAGTAGTGCATTAGTACATCTGTAGAACTGCTAGAGCTAGTAGTGCATTAGTACATCTGTAGAGCTGCTAGAGCTACTAGTGCATTAGTACATCTGTAGAACTGCTAGAGCTAGTAGTGCATTAGTACATCTGTAGAACTGCTAGAGCTAGTAGTACATTACAACATCCCTAGAGCTGCTAGAGCTAGTAGTGCATTAGCACATCCCTAGAGCTGCTAGAGCTAGCAGTACCTTACAACATCCCTAGAGCTGCTAGAGCTAGTAGTGCATTAGCACATCCCTAGAGCTGCTAGAGCTAGTAGTGCATTAGTACATCCCTAGAGCTGCTAGAGCTAGTAGTGCATTAGCACATCCCTAGAGCTGCTAGAGCTAGTAGTGCATTAGTACATCCCTAGAGCTGCTAGAGCTAGTAGTGCATTAGTACATCCCTAGAGCTGCTAGAGCTAGTAGTACATTACAACATCCCTAGAGCTGCTAGAGCTAGTAGTGCATTAGCACATCTGTAGAGCTGCTAGAGCTAGTAGTACACTAGTACATCCATAGTACTACTAGTGCTAGTAGTACACTAGTACATCTTAGAGCTGCTAGAACTAGTACTGCATTAGCACTTCTCTAGAGCTGCTAGAACTAGTAGTGCACTAGTACATCTAGAGCTGCTAGAACTAGTAGTACACTAGTACATCTCTAGTACTATTAGTGTTAGTAGTACACTAGTACATCTCTAGAGCTACTAGAACTAGTAGTGCACTAGTACAGCTCTAGAGCTACTAGTAGTAGTAGTACATTAGTACATCTCTAGAGCTGCCAGAACTAGTAGTGCACTAGTACATCTCTAGAGCTGCTAGAACTGGTAGTAGTAGTACGTTAGTACATCTCTAGAGCTACCAGAAGCAGTAGTACACCATTCTCTACCTACCCCGTTCCCACAGGGGCACAGCCATCTCTCCCTGACGTGGCAGCAGTGGAAGGAGGACGTGTGTGAGCACAGGGTTTGAGATCCTCAGCCTGCTCTATTGGTTTCTGATTCTGTGGCGACCTGAGCCAGGCACCACCGCTGAGGGGAGGGAAGAGAATCTGGTGAGCATCAGATTCACACAGGGCCAGAGGCGTTCAGTACAGCTACACCTCACAGTGGCTGCTGCACACAAAGGAGCCAACCCCTGCTCCCCTGATTCACACGCCAGGCTCTGCACACAGCCTCAAACGGCTCCCAATGGGAGGTTTCTGTAAGACAGATTAAAACAGAATAAAAGAAAGGCCAAAGCATTGTCTCTATGTCCCAAATGTGTAGCTAAATCCAGCTGATTTATGATGAGAGCTGGTTTCATGCCCCTGGGACTGGAACCCTCCTTTCTGAATGCCTCCCACCCGTTGCACCCCCCTGTCTCTGAGCAGGCACAGTCACTGAAACACTCACCTAGAGCACTGGAGCTGCTCTCAGGTCTCCCCTTCAGGAGCCTTCTCTTCTCCAGGCTGCCCCAGCCCAGCTCTCTCAGCCTGGCTCCAGGGCAGAGCTGCTCCAGCCCTCGCAGCAGCTCCATGGCCTCCTCTGGCCCCGCTCCAACAGCTCCGTGTCCCTGTTGTGTCTGGGGTGGAACTGGATGGTCTTTAAGGTCCCTTCCAATCCAACCCCTTCTATGATTCTGTGTCTTAAGCTTCCTTTCAAGTCATGAGCTGCTCCTTGCTGGGGCTTCTCTGTGCTGCTCCAGCACAGCAAAGCAGTGCAGCAGCTCCGCAGGGACATATCCTCAGCAGAGAAGCAGGAGGCAAAGCAGAGGATGCTACAGCTCTCTGGGCTCCAGGGCGCCGCAGCGAGAGCTCAAGAGCAGCAGCTTTAATAGCAGCACAAGGGCTGTTCCCTTAACGTGAAGCACAGAAAATGGCTCACAGCTGCCTGCACCTCCAACGAGCAGACCTGGTTTTACCGCTGAAGAGACAGCACAACTGATGAGCAATGAACGACCACCACAACCCTTTGCATTCCCATACAAGCATGAGGCTTCTGTTACCAACCTGCCTTTGAGCTCAGGAAAGGACATTTCCCAGAGCCTGGAAACTCAAGCCAGCAGATTCATGGAATAACTGGAAAACAATAAATCAGTAAGAATCCATCTATATCCATACCGTGCAGATGTCCAGTTCTGGCCAAGATACAGAGCACCAGGCAGAGATCAACAGCAGAACAAGTGGCAGGACAGCTCACCGTGCCAGCATTTCCTGGATATAATGCAATACACCCACACCCAGGCACCATCAAATCCAGAAGACACTGTTCCTAGTTTAGACTTCACTCTCCTCGAGCCACAGCAGTGTAGTGTTAGCCAACCCCTATAGAGACTTGAAACTATTTGCTTTAGAAGTGGATGTACAGAGGAAATGGACCTCGTGTCACCTTGCCCTGGGCCACACTGTGCATAGAACACACACCCCCAGCAATCAGGAAAGGCACAAGAGGTTTTTAGCTGCATTTTTCTGTGTGTTGGTCAGTGCTTTGTGGCTGATCAACCTTCAACCCAAGCCTCCAGATGTTCTTCTCTCCCTGCCACCACCTATAGCCAGGTATGGTAAAGATTCAAGCAAGGAATACACACTTGTGGAAAGCAGAGTCACTATAGAGCTATTGACTTTAGAGGGGTGTGAGTAGGAGGGGAGTCCAGGGGCAAACATGCCATGGTGCAAGCCTAAGGTGTGAACCTCGTGTTCATAACGCAAATGTTAAGCACTGAACATACAGAGCAGAAAGGAGAATGAAGGCATCAGCTTTGGGAAGCACCTCCTCAAGTGAAGGCAACTTCCAAGTTCCTCCTTCAGCAAAGGCAGGGTTGTCAGGTTCTAACACACACAGAGGGGGGCAGGAAGCAGCAGGAGGTGGTTATTTCTGCTTCCACAAGCCACCTGTGTTCTAGGACAAGTTCACTTGTCTGGTTCTCATCTGCTCTGGACCAGCCCACAAGCGCGATGCATCTGCTCACTTCATGTGCAGGGAGGGGGCTCTATTGCATCAGGTTGTTAACCCATTTCTTCTCATTTGAGCACATTTTACACTTACAAACACGTCAGTGTTTAATCAACATAGCAACGAGCTCTACCATGGCCTGGGAAAGGCGAGCAGAGGGAAGGCTGTGGTTAGGACCCATGGGACAGCATCTCGAGGGACCACGGTGGCATTCAAACCACTGCTGAAGTGACAGCAAGGCTAGGACCTGCACAAGGGAAAAATGAGCATTTCAGCAAGTGAGGTAGATGAATTTAAAGCAGCACTATTTCAGTCCTTTCCTAAGATAGTGCTGCTGGAAAAAAGAAATGCAGCCTGAAAATACTTGGAAATATGGTTACCTCTTGCCAGTCTGGGACAGCAGAGCTCATCCTGTCCCACATCTTTAGTACACTCAGTGCAAGACCACCCACTTCTCCCTTTCTGGAAGGGAGCTCATGATATGATACGACAGGACAAGGGGGAATGGCTTTAGCGTGCCAGAGAGGAGACTGAGATGATCAATGATCTTAAATGCACTCAATGATCTCAAAGGTCTTTTCTGATCTAAATGATTCTATGATCTCCACATGAAGAGCCAAGAAAGCAGCCCAGTTCCTCTCCTGAAGGCTGAATGTCACCTACCTCAGAGGCAGCCTTGTAGAGGACACACGTGCTTACCTGATCCAGGAAGCAACACCTCACTGACAGGACACTGCTCCAGTTGTCCCAAAGAATAAACACCTGAAAGGAACACCACCTTCCATCAGTTCAGGTCCTTAGTTAGAAGGAAAACAAGTTGTCTTATTAACTTCATCTGAGGCACCACTTGCACAGGAAATAAGAGACACTGCGTGCAAACCACCACTAAACAAAGGCTTTCATATAAATGATAATTTTATTGTAAATAACATGATACATTGGCCTGGCTTTGCACTGCAAGCCCCCGGTCGGTACATATAGATTACTGGTTCAAGGTCTTCTGCACAATCCAGGTTAAAGCAGTTCTCCCTGCTCCACCCTATGTCAGACAGGTAATAAAGTCCCTTTCTCCCTTTCTGGACTGCCCCCAGGCACATTTACCTTTCCTAACTGGGAAATCAGAGCTGCTCAGTGAGATCTGCTCCTGAACAAGGCTGGGGTTTGAAGACCTGAAGCCCAAACACCATTAAACCACAGAGGACAACTATTTTAGGTTGACAATTAAAGACAGACTGAATGCTCCCAGCTCCAAGGGCAGGTACCACAGGGCTGTATCCAAAGAGAGAAAACCTTCCCATGCAGCAGCTATTAACCTAAGCACCAGTCCCTGGGATCTTATTCAGCCTCCTGGATCTGGCCTTTGCCTGCCAGGATCAGCGTGTACAGCAGGGATGGGTGGGTTTATTGAAGATTCCCATGTTATCCTGGCTCTTTGGGCACTTGGGAATCCCATGTGTCACCTGAGCAGGTACCAATCTCCCTCTTGGTCCACTTGTTTTGGTTATTAATGGCAATGGGAGCTGTTTGTTTGGAGCATCAAGTCCTTTGGGAAACTACTCCAAAAATGGGAAAAGAATAATCCAAATTGCTGCCACTAGAATAGGCAAAGGCTGCATTTACTGGAGAACAAGCAAATAACCTGGAATGCTCAGAATCGTCACACCGAGACCAAAATGCCAACAGTTTGTTTCCTAACAACTCGGGGAGAAGCAAATCCCCCATTCCCCCAGGTTCCTTTTTGATGGCAATCTCAGACATCCTCCTGCTCAGTTCCAACTGTCTCAGGATAATGGGACTCCTCCAAGATATTCATCTTCAAGCAGAATATTCCCCATTTCTGCAGCACCTTCCATCCAGGGCTCACTGCTCAATATACCCCTCCCTGGAAGCAACAGCACAAAGCACAGCACGACACCTGGAACAGAATCGACTTGGTTGGAAAAGACCTGTAAGATCATCAAGCCCAGCCTTTACCCCAGCACTGCCAAGGCCTCCATGGCACTAAATGGAAACACCAGCTCAGGGTCAGCCTGGCACTCCCCTAAATGAGGTTGTTCCCAGCTTTTCATCCCATTCTGCCAGGATAAAGAGGTCCGATGCAATTCAATCCAGAGGTGTCATTACATTTATGTCCACTTCAAATGCTTTTGCTGCCTGGGCCATGTGTAAGTGTTGGTCTCAAGCAACGGACTTTGGAGTCCAGATCTTTCCCATCCCCAGGAGGCTGTGAGGAAACAACGGTGGCATTTTGGCTTGGCTTTACCTGTTCTAAACCATCAGCAAATTCTCTGCAAAACCAGCTGCTTTTTTTCCTTTGTAAGTTCATAAAGGAGTCAAAACGTATTTCCCCTCCTCCCCCCCGCCCCGTAACAGTCGCTATATATAAAAATCACCAAATATGATCTTTTACCATATAAATAAACCAAAAAAGTATGAGGCATCACCGTTTACATGATGTAAAAAGAGCTAAAAAAAAGAGCGATAGAAACTACATTCATAAAAGTGCATCTCCAACCATAGAAGTAATGCTTTGGCTTGTTCCTGTGCCGAAGAGATGGCATTGGGTCAGGTGCTGGGATACAGGAAGTCCAAGCTGGCACCCCATGTTCTCTGTCACTGTACAACTGCTATTTGCTTTCATTACTACACACTGGAACACAAGTGTATACGGAGTAGGCACATTTCAGCATAGGTGGTGGGAAGGACCAGATGCTCTGGTGGGGAGAGGACTGAGCCCATCAGCCCAGGATGCTCTTTGCTCTGCTCTGGAACAGCCTTCCATGACGTGTATGAGGTAAAAGCCACAACAGATCCTGAGGATTTAGTTGCTTTGAAACATTAAAAGTGACACCATTTCCTCATGCCCCATTCTCTCACAGAACACAATGTGTGGGACAGCAAGGGAAAGACCATGGAAGAAGGTCTCAATTTGGTGAGGCCGAGCCAAGGGGAGAGAGGAACCTGTGCAGGCAGCATCACTACACTCCTGATCGCTGTTGTACGTCTGCAGGGTGAAGTGGGATGAATTCCAATCTTTGGTATACGTAGGTGCCAGCTGCAAGGCTTGAAGAGCGCTGCCTCCCCTATTCCTGTCATCCAGACTACAGGAATAATCTCATATTCCTCTGCAACACAGGCAGCCATCTATCCCACAGCAAAGTGGTGTAAAAAGCTCCCTGTCACGGAGTAGCAGCGTCGTGCCCTTGCTTCCCTTGGATGTGAGCGACAGTGAAGTGCAGGCTATAAGTCAGCCATGTCTTTTGACAATGTGGAGTCAAGCTCCAGCTTTGGAACAGATGAATAGAAGTGCCCTCACTAGAATTAATAAATTATGGAACAAGAGGTTTCCTAAAAGGCATCCCCCTTAAGTGCCTACAACCTACACAGTGCATCCTTGTAGTAGTGCAGGAGAGCCTCAAAGTGAAAGCAACAACTGAGTACACATTGCTCCGAGTTTGGCACACAAAAACCACTTCAGGTTGTTAAACCTTTTCAGGGAGTTTTGGTTATTTGGCATTTTTAAGGTTCTTTCCTCCCCACCTTTGAATTCAATCCAGTCTTTCTCCTGTGGTCAAGGTTTCATTAAAACTTGCCTTATCTTACTACCAGTATTCACCTATAACCTGTTCATTTTACTGCATTAGGAAAGCAGTTTTCAAGTTTTTATGGGGGAGGAGTGGAGGTTACGTGGAGCCTTAATATGGTTTCCAAACCAAGAGCAGAACCCCTTCAGTGCTGCTCTATAAAGCAGTATTTTTGCTAATACCACATTTCCTTCGTTTCCTTTCACACAGATAACTTCTAATTACTCCAGGAATCCCCAGGAGTGCTGGTCTTTTAGGAATGAAATAAGGATTATTAGTGCCCAAATCAACAGAGTATTGAAGGTCAGTGAGCCACTGGGAACTCCAGAGATTCGGTACCTTTCACTTGGTACCTGTGTGGGTTCTCCAGTTAATTATAGCAATATTCTAGAGTTGCCAATGCTCTCTCCTGTTCACTGTTAGATTTAAAAGCTTCTCGAAATAGGGCTGTAACGTTTTACGGCAATCTTAAAGGAACACTTGCACATCTGTAAAACAAAGCACACACACTGAAGGGTTGAGCTTGATTCTAACTTACTGTGCACAGGTAAACCTAGTGTCCAGCTCCATCTCCTCCCCATAAAAACCTCAAATTTCTATGAGGCCAGGACCTCAAAGAAACAGATAGGCTCTTCCTGAAGTAAATTCCTGGGCACCAGATGAGCTCTCTTTGGTTTAAAGGATGGTAAGAAGCTACCAGCCCAAAAGATAGGTGTGACAGAAAGCTGTTCCACAGAACTCCCTTCCAGAAGGGTTTGTTTGGACCCAGCAGTCCAAGGGAGATGAAGCAGGAGCACAGATTCGTTGGCTCTGAGGACACAAACTGACACTGTCTTAATGCTAGCACAGACTGAGCCTTGGAAATCAAGCTCTGGATTTTCTAACATCAGTGGCAGAGCCCTTATCTCAGGGCCTGGAGTGATTGCATTCTGCTGAAACGTTGCTGATTATCCTGCCATTGAGCTAGAAAGACCGCCCTCACCCCTACCCCCAAATCCATGGTTTCATTATAAAATAACACTATTCACATACTTTTGAATCAGTATTTTCTGAACACCTTCAGATGCTGAATACTTCAGAAGAAAAATAGATCATTATATAGCGAGCGCACGCTCAATGACACATGGCTTTTTGCTGGAGTCATGTCCTAGAGATGCCTCTAAAGCCCTAGCAAGTCTGGAGAACAGTGACCCACACGTAGAGAGCTGGTCTGGATGGCTGTTGCACGTTTCTCTTCTGAAGAGCATAGCTCTTCCAGTTCCCACTTTGGTTCAGCTTTCTTCTCCGTTCAACCAGTGAGACACTTCCCATTCCTGGGCCTGCAGAGAACATGCAGCCAGCTGCAATTTCACATCAAGGTAACTAGGGCAAAAATGCAGCTCTGTTTCGACCGCTGGCAGTAGAACAAACATCAGTCCAGCAAACAAAGGTATCAGGCACAAGAGCAGACCCTAGGTTCCTTGGCATAAACTTCCCCAAAGGACTAGGCCAGCTGAGTTGGCATTTGGAAGATGCAGCACCACAATGGGCAGTTGCAACTAGACCAGACGGGGCATGGAGAGCCCAGCAGGAGCTGCTAGCGAGGGAGGTAATTCAGTACTGGAGCTGTGCAAACTGATGTCTGAGCAGCTCTTCAGCAGAGGGTCTGTGCCTGGCTTCCACAAAGATCTGCTTTAGAAAGTCCCGGCAATGTTCTGATATGTGGGAAGGGAGCTGGGGGTTGGTGGGTTGGGTGGCGATTTTGAAGATGGCTGCCATGGCTTCGTACTCTGCCCAGGGTGGTTTCTCTGTCAGCATTTCCACAACAGTACAGCCCAGGCTCCTGGAAAAGCAGGAAAGGAAAACAAGAAGCAAGGATTGACACACAAGAACACACGGAACAGCTGAGCAGCGAACAGCAAGGTCCAGGTCTGCTCTGAAACCAGCTAGAAGATGGCTTTGTGTTCAACAAACCCCACGTGGGCACAGAGCCAGACCTGCCAAGGTTGCTGCTTTTCTTACTGTCAGCTCAGCAGTGAAGTGCTGAGACAGGGAGGCTGGTTCCTCACTGCACCAAGAACCATTCAGTGCCATCTGTCCAGCTACTTTCAGCTCAAACTCTCCTCTCAGCAAACATCTGCATTAACAACAGAGGACACGAGGTGCACAAGAGATGTCCCTCAAGGTGCTGTTTGACCTCAGTGGTATTTAGGTGTTGCTGCCCCTGGTACTTCTCTAAGGCACTTGGTCTAAGGTAAACCCACACTTTTTAACCAAGCTCCAGTGAATCCCAGCTGGTTGATCCCCAAAAGTCAAATCCCTTTTCAGTGCACAGCCTCAGAATGCCCCAATATCTCTACTTCAGAGGAAACCAACCACCGTAGGCAGTCAAAAAGTAAAGTCTTAACACCTCCAAAGTGGGTAGGCAGCAAGTTAAACCATGGTGGGGCACACGCATTATTATGTTAAGGCAAAACTCCTACAGTTAATGAAGCTCTGCAGGCTACTTCAAGGCAAGGAGTTGATGATGGGGATCGACGCAGCTGAGCCACCTCTCTGAAACAAGTGTGATGCCAATATTCCACAGGGAAGGGTTTCAGGACTAATTGCTTCCTCCAGGCCACAGATTAAGCAAAAGCAGTTAGTGAAGATCTAATACCCAGTCCTTTTTGATCACATCGCTCCACGCAAAAGGCAAAATTGCCTCTTGTACGTTTAAACTAAACCCCCTTTTGAAGTGAAAAGCAAAGCAAAGACGTTTTCAGCTGCAGGCTTGCACCAACTGCCAAGACAAGGAAGGAAAGGAATTAAACCCAGTGAATATGCAAGAAATGATTTCTTGACAAGGTTTAAAATCCAACGTGAACATTTTACACTGGTCTCCAGCCATTTAAGACTTTACTAGAAGAGAGTACAGAAAATGCAAACCATGTGTGCTGAAGTGCTGGGGGCTTGCTCAAAAGCAAGCAGGGATATATTATTGTTTAGACTGATTTATGCCGTTTAAGCAGATCCGGTTTCTTTAAGATACTCAGCGAACGGCAGGAATGTTTTTCATGTCAAGTCACTCCAGCAATAACAAATAGCTCACATATTCTGCTATTTAGGAAAAAGAAAATTGGAGAGGGGCCTGCAGCAGTGGCAGAAAGCCAGAGGCTCAGATCTGTTACGTCTTTGAGCCTCTTGGCCATGCACATCCACCCTGGGACTAATGCTGCACTGGAAACTTCTGACCCCCCTAAAGAACCATTGGGATTGTAGGAACTGGAGCCCAGCCAACAGCAGCGTCTCTTTGATGGGAATGGACCGATGTCAGCACCAAGAGGAAATCCACAACTGCACCAACCCAAGGGGAAAGGCACGTGCTCCATTCTCTCCCCAAGCATCCCATCTGGGAGAGTCTGCAGAACTTAACTCTTTCCATACGAGACACATTTCAGCTCGTTCCACTCCCTGCTTGTACAGGAAACAGCACTGCCCTCACTTTACTGTGCACAGACACACCTTTTGTTGCTGTCATTTAGTTTAGTTTTATCATCTCACCTTTTTAGGGCCTCCAAAACTAACATTTTGACACAGGACATTTGGCCCTCTTCTTTCAACAGAGGCTGTTTCCTGGCTATGCCAATAATAGCATGGCTACAGTTTCCATTCATGCATAGTTCAGATCACCTCTGATCTTGACCTGTATCTTTTGTGTTATTCCAGGTTTGGCCATCTTTCCCCTAAAGCTCAAATTCTCCATTCTGTTCATTTCCAGTGTGTTATAAGCACACCTCTCATTTCATAACCAAATGAATGGATTCTCCCTAACCAACCCTCAGGCTCTCTTACGAGGGATATAAGGAGGAGGGATACCTTGCATCAGTCAGAAAACAGAAAATCAGCTATCAGTTTGAGGGAGGAATGAGTGGAAATCGTCCCTGAGGAACTACAGGAGCAGTTGCATGCTGACACTGCAAAGCACAGCCTGCAGCAGGTCGTGTCTTGAGTTCAAACCAACTCCTCCACTTCGCCTTAAACTTCTGATCCAGGCAGAATCACAAGCTGGATATATGGAGGACAGAATGTGTGTGTCTTATCTCGCTCCAGGAAAGGTGTAATTGATCTATGGACAGAAGGTTCAAGCCTCACCATACGTCAGCTTTTCTCCCATAGCCTTCTCCGCTGATCACCTCCGGGCTCATCCAGTACGGTGTTCCTGTGACAGAGCGGATGCCTGTTCCAGACATACAGATTGTCTGCAGCCGTTTGCTGGCCCCAAAGTCCCCAAGCTTCACATTCCCAGCAGAGTCACGGAGAATATTGGCTCCTGGACAAGAAACAAAGAATGGAGACAGCTGTTTTCATGCAATCCAGCTGCTGGATCCACAGCCAATGGAGCTGACACCCAACCCAGAAATACCATACTCATGGTATGGCTTTTTCCCTATTATGCCTCAGGTGAGCTGCTAAGCATCACTGCTGTAATGCAGGCTGCAGACAAGCCAACTGCTAATGGCTGTAAATGGGAAAAACTGCAGGGGAAAAACACAAGGAAATGAAGGGGGAAGGGAAATCAGAGCTGAGTCAGCACCATCATTGTTACACTGCCTGTAAACAGCTCAGCCTATGCAGGGCCCCCAGGCCAATGGCTGGATAGCACATAGCTGTGTAGGAAATACTTTCCTTGGGATGCTGCTTTGGTGAGTACAATCACTGCTTTCTGGTCAGCTGGGTAACAGATGCAGCTAATGAAAACACTCTGAACTCCTACAATAAACAAGTCAACCTCCACTCCTGGGTCAGAGGTTCTGAACATGAAGCACCAGGATAAAAAGCAAACTTAAAGAGTGTAGCTTGCTTAGCTGCCCAGAGAAGCTGTGGCTGCTCCGTCCCTGGCAGTGTTCAAGGCCACGTTGGACACAGGGGGTTGGAGCAAGCTGGGCTAGTGGAAGGTGTCCCTGCCTGTGGCACAGGGTTGGAACTGGATGAGCTTTAAGGCCCCCTCCAACCCAAACCAGTCTGGGATTCTGTGATATGTGGACATAAACTAAGCCTTAGACACCAAACCCAATGCTTCCTTCAAAGGCACAATAAGATAAAGAACCCTGTGTTGCCATTATATGGTGTGAGCCTATGTGAAATCCTTCTGCCCTGAAAGAAAATGCACTTCTGCTGGGAGATAGTTTCATCACTTCACTTCCCCACTGGAAGAGCTGAATTCAGTGGTGTACAAGGTGTTATTCAAGAATCAGCATCATCTTTTCCCTTTGCCAGCCCAGAGAGCATGTAATGAAGGCAGGAACAACCCTCCTGGTTCCTCTAGAGCACAGAAGAACTTGTGTGGTGTCTGCCACATCTGTTGCCATTAACTCTTAAGGAGACTGGCTGCCTCCATGGGGTTATACTGGGAAGAGGGTGATTAAGGACTAATCACAGCGGCTCTACATGGAAAACTGGAGGTTTCTTACACAGATGAGGCAGGATACTCACAAGAGCCAGATGTAAGCAGGATTGTCAAGGACAGGCACAGAGTCCTGATGGCAATTGGTATGCCTGCCACCTGAGAAACAGGACTTTGGCTCTCAGGTCCTGGAGAGAACAGCCCAACTTCCCTTACCCAGCCTAGGACATCAGGTTCCTTAAGCTGTGCACATGAACACAAGACCACAATGGGACAAACTGAGCAAAGCCATGTTCAGGAGCCCCGACACTTCTGTTTCCAGAGTTCCTTTAGCACGTGGGACAGACATCAATCATCAGCTGCTCTCACCTTTTATGTCCCTGTGCACAATCATGTTGCTGTGAAGGTACGAGACTCCCTCGAGAATCTGGCGAGTGTATTTTCGGGTTACGTTTTCCGTGAGAGCACCATAAGCCTTCAGCTGGTCCTTCACTGACCCCTGCACCAAAAGCAAACAGGAAGGGTTGGTGAAGAAATGCCAAACCACACACCTTGCAGTCTCCATTCAATTCCCATGAGCGGTAAGTGGGTTATACACACAACTGTCTCCTAAAGCCTTTCTAAGAGGCTCTTAGAGCATTTTGCCCTAAGAAGCTCCTTTTAAGAAAAGCAAGGACATGCTTTATGGCAAAAACAGCTTAAGGAGGTTCTGGTTCCTCCACTCTTGAGCTGTGCTGGTACAACTGCTTGTGAAGACAAGCAATAAAATAGATTAGCAGACTGGTCCAGATCAAAACCCTCCCTTTCGCAGGGTCGCTTTTAGCCTCATTTGCTGTACTATATGAGACTGCTCATTCATTGAGCCTCGTTTACAAGTTGGCCCAAGTCCTTTGAAGTACTTTGGTAGAACAAATTTAGACTGAAGAAAAGAACTGCCTTTAGTGACTAATGAAGAGAGCTGCTGAGGCGCTGGCACAGGGTGCCCAGAGAAGTTGTGGCTGCCCCAGCCCTGGCAGTGTTCTAGGCCAGGTTGAATGGGGCTTGGAGCAAGCTGCTCTAGTGGAAGGTGTCCCTTCCAAGCCAAACCATTCTGTGATTCTATGATTATAACCCAGCATGAGAAAGTGGGACAACTAAGAGGGTATTAGGTGGATTACATAGAGTGATCACACCAACTAATAAACCCACTTGTCTGACTGTATGATCTGTGACTGCACTGCTTGTGTCAGCTCTTACCCCTGGCATGTACTCCATGAAGATGGTTAAGGTCTTCTCTGCTCGATCCCGTAAGCAACCGTAATACTGAACAATGCGCTCGTGCTGGAGGTTCTTCAGCAGCTGAATTTCACACTCCAGGGCACTCACTTCCTATGGATGTTGAAGGAGAAAATGAGGTTCTGGCCCCAGAAATATTCCATCCTCATAAATGCGTCCAAGTCACTGACAATATGAGACCACCACTACACTGAAGAAGTCTAATCCATGGCACTGGTTCACCTACTTCTTGGAACAGGCAAACATTACTGATGTTTCACATTAATCCTTACTGTGTAATAAGCAGGTAAGTATTGGAGCAGAAGCCTTGACAGAACATGGGTCCACCATCCAGAAATGGATTTAGCACCAGAAAAAGCTGTTTCTCGTCTTGATTCTGTAGCTGAATGGTTTTAGCCAAGTTGTTTGGAAGCATTCTTCATGAGCACCACAGCTACAACCTTCCTTCTCACCCCCAAGCTGAGGACACCGAGTGTTAATTTCCATTATGCAGAAGCACTGAACACACAGTTACAGCATTGCCTGGAACCCTTCTGTAGGAACCTCAACCCAAGCAAGGGAGACAGCAAGACTACAGGTGCTAAGAGCTCCTACACAGTCCTGTTCTGATTCCAGCTGATGGTTTTACTTGAATCAACTCAGAAACAGCTTCCTCTCTTACTTCACACAATCTGCAGCTATCGCATATGATCCAGATTCTTTGGTTTATTATTGCCACAGAAAACAGGGTATCACAGCACACAGGCTATCCAACAATTCCAGACTGAAGCAGAGATGTTTGTTGCCCAGGAAAAGTATCAGGTTCTTCAAGAATGCAGGGAATGAACAGGATGACTAAAGATATCAGAGCATGCAGATATATGGGAAAAAGAATGATGGTTTCCCCAAAATTAATCCCAGTTCCCTCTCTCCACTCCTGCTACTGGAAGGTGCCAGGTTCACTTCTCTCCCTTTGGGAGAGGATGCAGCTCCTCTCCTCAAGAGCAAGGACCTGGCTGCTGCAGAGATATGTGGAATCTGAGGAAGTTGCTTAATTGGGCAAACTGATAGTTTAAGGATTGGAGCTGCAGTGAACATTCCAGGCTGTTCTTCTCTGGCTCAGTTACTGTCTGGTTTACAACAGAGACAGTTGTAGGAACTAAGTTAGGACTTGGCACTGGTATCTCATCTAAAATCAAGATAATTCAGTCTTCATGGATCAGTTATTCCAGCTCAAAGTGAATTTGTTCAACACTGGGAAATTGGCACATTGTTAAAATACTAACAAAGAACTTAACAGCCATTCCAGCTGCGTTCATTGTGCAGGGACCTGGGTGCTAACCTGTAATTTAAGGTGCCCCTTCCCATCTCCACTGTTTCCAATGTGTTGTCATATTCCTGTTCTTGATGTACTGACACCACAGCTCAGTTTGTTTTGAGGACAGGAAGAATTCAGAAGAGGAAGCAAGTAAATAATACACTTGATACAGGGCCTACCATATAAGCTCAGAAAGTGGATTTTCCAAGTGCATGCAGTCTTTTTTTTTTGTTTAGAACCAAATAAAAGTCCTATTTTTTCCTGGGGTTAGTTTCATTCACATCCATGCCTAACCAGGAACACAGGGCAGTCTAGTATTCCTCAAGTAACCTGGCAACAAACCAAAAAGCTGAGAAAGGAGAGCCAAAAACGAAGCCAGAAAATGGATTTTAGTTCCAGGCTGAAGTTAATCTTACAGAATAATGACTCCTATTCCTCTCCACATGACTTGAAACCCCAGGATAAACTAAGGAAGGTGCCAGCTTTGGAGGACAGACAGATCCAGGCACTTGAGAAGATCTTACAGGGTTTTAGAAGCTGTGATGAGAATTACCTTGCTTGTTTCAGGACTCTCTGGATCAAACTGGACCTGCTTAGCTGCAAGCTCTCTGCCCGTATCCACATCATAGCACAGATACACACGACCAAAGGCACCTTGGCCCAGCAGTTTCCCTCGTCGCCAGTTTATTGGAGCACTCGGAGCTGAAAGAGAACAGCAATCATTTCTCTTTTCATTTGATCATTTCAAGATAATGGAGAGCTCTTCAAAGATCAATCTCCATCATGCTGAGATTGGAAAAGGTATTTTGCAGTGGGAAGGGTTTCACTGCAAGGCTATCTCTGCAGCAGAAGAATTAGAAGTCATAATTCCCTACTAGAGAGTGATAGGGTAGGAGCCATAACGTAAGCACAGTGCAGATATCTTCTTTATCTGCTGAACAATCAGACTTTAACAAATATATATCTGAGGACCAGCTAAAACAGCCGTCTCCAATAGCCCAGCAGGATATTACATCAGAGGGAATGCTGAGTTCTCATTGTTCTACTGCACCGCACAAGCAGTGGTCTCCTGACCCAGAGATTAACACCTCAGGACAGGTTTTCAGACTGCGCTTAACACCAAAGCATACCCTGCAAAGACCAGTACTTTGATAAGACACCACCAGCCTTGTGCAGTGCAATGCAGCCAATGATGAGGAGTCTAACAAGAAACTCTAAAAACGAAGACAGGAACAAGCCATCTGGACAGTGTGAAGATACAGAAGAGCTGAAAGATGAGCTCTGCCGTATCTAATGTAGTCAGATTTCCTGCCAATCAGTGTTTTATGGTGTTACCTACTCTGCTGCATTAATGCCTTCATTTTGATCCTTTAGTTTGTGTACAGGATAGCTGAAGTTCATCAGAAATCATTCATTGTCTTATTTTTTATTAACAATGTAAATTTTCCCGACAAAACGACCCAGGGATGACATCAACACAGAAGTAAACCTTTCTACTAAGGAGCACATGAAAGATAGAAAGGCTTTAACAAATGGGTCTCAAAACACAGCCATGGAATTATAGAGACTGGATTGAGAGGAGCCCTGAGGAGAAGGACTTGGTGGTGCTGGTCAATGAGAAGCTCCCCATGACCCAGCTTCAGTGTGCGCTTGAGCGCAGAACCGCCCCCGTGTACTGGGCTGCACCCCCAGAGCGTGAGCAGCAGCTCAGGGAGGGGATCCTGCCCCTCTGCTGCACTCTGGGGACACCCCCGTGCAGTCCTGATCCAGCTCTGGGGCAGCAGCACAAGAGGAACGTGGAGCTGCTGGAGCGAGTGCAGAGGAGGCCATGGAGGTGCTGCGAGGGCTGGAGCAGCTCTGCTCTGGAGCCAGGCTGAGAGAGCTGGGCTGGGGCAGCCTGGAGAAGAGAAGGCTCCTGAAGAGGAGACCTCAGAGCAGCTCCAGTGCCTAAAGGGGCTGCAGGAAAGCTGGAGAGAGGCTTTGGACAAGGGCCTGTAGGGACAGGCCAAGGGGAATGGCTTTAACCTGCCAGAGGGGAGACTGAGATGAGCTCTTAGGCAGAAGCTCTTCCCTGTGAGGGTGCTGAGGCGCTGGCACAGGGTGCCCAGAGAAGCTGTGGCTGCCCCATCCCTGGGAGTGCTCAAGGCCAGGTTGGACACAGGGGCTTGGAGCAAGCTGCTCCAGTGGAAGGGGTCCCTGCCTGTGGCAGGGGTTGGAGCTGGGTGAGCTTTAAGGTCTCTTCCAGCTGAAAGCATTCTGGGATTCTATGATTCTATGTGGTTTTGAATGCCTTGTTAAAATCAGCTATGGTTATGTATTGGGTCTGGAGTTCATCTCTAGAAGTCCTTCTTGCCTCTAACCCCAGGAGGCCTTTCCCCCGTTACCACCAGGATGACTCCTACTTACATTTGGTGGGAATGTTCCTCTCCTGCACACCAAGGGCATTTTCACTGTCGGCGCTCCGCAGGCGGCCCCGGGGGTCCAGGTACTGCAATGCCAGGCCTAGGTTTTCCCCATTGGTGCTTAAGGAACGACTTGAAGGCACCAAGGTGAAGAGATTCCCTTGGTGACGCCGTATCCGGGGAAATGTCCTGCGACCTGAGGACAGAAAGGACCATTTTTAGGTAACACGCTTCCAAGTGGAAAGAAGTGCTCTGGAGGTCGAGCACTGTAGAGAAGGGAGAGAAAGAACATATTCTGCTCTGTTCCCATTGAGTAGAATCTACTGCGAAGCAGAGAAGATGCAAAAATATAACCGCTCAGGGCTGATGCTGCTTGAGTTCAGTACAGCTTTGGATCATTCCCAAAGCAGAAGGCAGAGAAAACTCCCCTCAGATCTAAAGTTGCCTTCCAAAGTAAGAATCTATACAGGCTACCACCCAAGCTCCAAAGCCTGTTAACAGCTACACAGACAGAATGACTTTCTAGATACCATGCATGAACTTTCATTATGCAAATCAAATACAGGGAAAAAACTTGCAGCTCTTGGTTGAGAAATTCATTTGCATAAAGCCATCTGACGAGCAGGGATGTGATTCTTTAAGTCACTGGTATATTTGTAAGACCCTGAAGCAAGTTTGTATTGTGAATTAGCAAAGCAAAATGAACCCCTGAGGTAGGAACCCACTACATATGACCAAGGTTAATAACTACGTCCATTGCTCAACCCTCACTGGTCAGCCAGGATACCCCCAGAAGGACAAACTAAGCACAGAATTACAAACAGGCATCATGGCTTGCTACGAGGATGTGGCAACATGCACGGCAGCATTAACTCTAGCACTAACTGCAAGGACCAGGGCACTTCCAGACTCTTCAACTCAGAGTTCCACTTGCCCCTAGAGGTTGCCATTGCCTCACGTTCTTGTTCAAGCCTGGAACTGAAGGTCTGGAAACAACTCACCATCGCTGTAGTCTTTGTGCTGCATGGAGACGTTGTAGCGCCGGGGATAGGTCCCACCTTTCCCTGCTTTGTCATAGATCTGATTCTCACGGTCTGGAAGGAGATGTAAAGAGAGGAGTGAGGCTTCTTCATAAAGTCTATGTTCTAATGACACAATTTTGCTGTAAGAGCAGGATCCTTTTAGGAAGAGGAAATAAACTTCACAACTTTGCAATCAACATATCCCCAGGTCTTCTATTTATACAATCCCAGCAAGCATGGAGGGGAGCCAGCATGTCTGGATCTTTACACTGGACACCGACATACCTGAGAACTCCTGTCTATTATCAGGAAAGCTTTGTGCCCTGGACATCCGTGACTTCCGAAAAGAAGGACTATTGAAGAAAGAAAGCAAGAGTAAGATTTACAATCCACTCGAGTAAAACTTACGTGGACTTTAAATACAAGCTAATATATCTGCACACCAGTAACAGTGAGCTGCAAATCCATGTCCTTGCAATGACTGCACACTACACCTGCAGAGCTAAGCCAGGCTTAGCCCCAGACAACCAGACCATCTTTCCAACACGGACAGCTATTTCTGTTCAGTTTGTGACATTTATTCAGCTGCTCCCCAGTCTGTGGTATAAGAGCAAGTGCTTCCTTTAGACACATGATGTGGAAGGTTAAAAGCAAGGCTAAGAGGAGGAGCAGAACAGGGTATCATCCTCACATTGCTCACAGGGCAGTAGAGAATGGGGACTACTGTCCCCAGTGATTTACCATGAGGGTGAGCTCCTCTCCTGAAAACCTCAGTGCATTTTCCTCTCTACTCGCAGCTGATGGCAGACACTGCTTATAACCCTCCCATTTCTCTGCAGTAAGCAGGACTCCTCAAGCAGTCCTAGTCTGGTCCCCCTTGTTTGGCAGAAGGTTGTTACCATCTCTTAAGAGATCACACAAACTCCATCACTGCCAAAGCCATGTTATTTCACTTCTATTTTTGTTAACTAGTGGAAACGGAGTAAGCCTGATACAGCTTTCAGACTCCCAAGTGAGACTCCTTTCCTCCTACACAAAGAACAGCAGCTTCCCCTAATGATGCCCACTCCTATAACAACCAACTAGGAAGGCTTTCTCCCCCCAGCACTCCTCCACTCAGGGCAGGAAAAGAGGAGAGAAGGACAGGTAACAAATTAGCAATGCCCTCCCCAAATGAATGTGTTCGTATTCACAGGTTAACTGTAAGCGCTTCCTTGTGCCTCCACAAACTGGAGGAAGTGAAGAGCTACAAACCCAAACCTCCAGCGCTGGACAAAAAAGCCTACACAGGAATCAGCTTGGAGGAACCTTAAAAACATGCTGAAGCCCAATGTTACAGGTGCTGGGAAGCCACAGCTGCTATTCAAGTTAATAGAATCTACAACTGCCCATAACACCTCAACACCAATGGCAAAGAAAGGGAAGAAAAAGATCTAGAGCATCAGACTACGACAAACTCTTCATCCAAGGAAAAGCCCCTTTCTTTACCTTTGGTATTAATATTCTACCTTGCAGCACACAGAGATCTTACTCTAACGGTGTATTTCTGTAACCTTAGAGTAGTTGTTTCTTTTCTCCTTTTAAATGAGCAAGTAGAGCCTTGTCTAAAGGAGATTTAAAGATGCTGCAGCCAGATGTAGGCATGCTTCAGAACTCTGTATCTGTAACACAGAGCTAATGAAGCACCAGTTGGTTGGTGTCTGGTTTTGCCAGACAATAAACCAGTCTTATGATACAATTTGTTCTCTTCAAGAAATATATTGGGATATAGGTAGGAAATAAGTTCCTATTTCCCTCCAAGCAAATGTATGAGCTGGAAAACAGACTTTTGCAGAAGTACAACTGGCATTTTGATTTCAGCATGTAAGTTCCTAACAGCTTGTACATTTGTACCTGTCTGCTGACCTGTCCAAGGACTGGCAGCTTCCTGATACTGAGTTTTCAGCGCTGCTTAAAGGGTCCAGCATCTGCAACACAGAAGAAATCACATGGTAACATCAGTTCAATCTAATGCCTAAGAGGCTGTGCAGGAGGATCAGAGCCCACTACTGCTTGCTTAGAGATGTCCAGATAAAGAGGGGAGTCTAAAGCTATTTAGAATCTACATTTATCCTCCCACAGAAATTAAGGACATATCAAATTTGAGACATTGCTTTAGGTGTCGAAGTTCAAGTCAGCCTTGGGCTGTGTTTTGATCCCAACTGAATTCAGGAACAGAATCTCTGCTGCTGCTGCATTGCTGCGTCCACCTGCACATCGCCCTTTGGCCTTACTTCCTACTCTTTGAATAGAGAAAGCCGTTTCAAATGCAGGAGGGTCAAACAAACCTGAGTGCACATGTGTGACACCCACCAAAAGTGCTCATTCAGAGGTGAACAGACAATGCCTGATTCACAAGGCAACTCCTGGCACTGCAACAAAGGCTTTGAACCTGTACATCTACAAACGAGTCTGAAGCACAGTTTAAATGAACAGAGCAGTTACTACTAGGTGCTAATGCAACTACAGCTAGTGAATATTATGAAGTGGGAGGGCCCAGAGAGTTCCTTAACTGGTGGACTTAGTTTTTTCCCCCCTAATGCTCATACTTACACACTGCTCACTGGTTTCTGGGATGAATTCTCCTTCACTGTTTATGCTGGTGTAGGAACCCTGCCGAGCAATGCGCTGCTGCCTCTCTGGAACGTACCCAGGAGGTGGTGAACTTCGGCCTGTGTTCTGGGAACCTGGGCCGGAAAGAAGCACAGTTTGGGTATGAATGCTGCTTGAAAGGAGACTGCACGTGCATGTACACAGAATCCAACGCCTCACCTCTAACACGAGACCTCTATGACCACAGCAACTCTGTAGTGAACCTTAACACTACAGTCTGGATAGAAATGGAACCAGGAGGTGCCATGCAAGAAAGGAGATTGTTCCATAAGCACCTGTACTGTCATTTTAGATACTACATAGCATTATTGAAGACCCTAACACAGCACTCACCTATTTCTACTCAATCCTGCTCAACCTTCTGAGTTTCAGTATCTAAGGGGGGAAGAGGACTCCAGGAATCCCTGGCTTTTGGACATGAACCACACTGTTAATCTTCACTTAACAAAACACTTGTCAGAACGACCTATCTTCTGCCTTAAGTTTGCTTTAACTGGTACCATTTACCCTGAGTGACAGCACTATTTCTGCTGGTCATAATTGTTGTCCCCAACTGGGACAACTTGGACAAATTATATGCACACTGAGCAATTGCAGGATGCCATGGGAGCACTGTTACCTTTGTAAAGAGCCCCAGATGTCTGTTTCACTGTGTAAGCCCAAAACTATACAATTACTTTGGTCAATTCTGCAGTGTCTGTTACTTACATGAGGTTGCTACATGGGCAGAGAGGATGTTTAGGGGCCCAAAGGGGAGAAAACCATTGTACTCATCTGTGCACAGTACTACCTAAAGAGTTTCTGTTGTGCTACCTACTGAGAGAAACATTACCCCCTGGATTTATGTTTTTCCCTTGCAGATCTCAAAGCTGATGACACTTTTGAAAGAGGAAAATACAAAATCCCTCTTTGCAGTGAGCCATCCACCTGCAGCTCCCACCAAGTCACCCTGGGAGCTCCAAGACATGCTGTGCTTCAGCCAATCTACTCAAGGTCACCCATGAAGATCTGTTTTAAGATCTATGCTCTTTACCACGCTGTCTTTCATTATCTGTGTGTACTCAGGTGCTATGAAAGATGGGTAAAGATCAGCAAATCCTCTCCCAAGGAAAATATTTTCTACAGCAGTTATTGTAATACAGAGTGAAGGCAAACATCAGCAGAAGCTCACTGCAAAGCAGAGACCCATCTTTTGGAGGACTGCGGTAGGAAAAAGGGACTCAACAACTCAAGGCTGGCTTAGAGTGCATGGGGGGCGTGAGCTCCAAAGTAACCTACTGCTTAAAGCTACCAAGTGGCTCTGCAGGCCTCACGTGGTGTTACCGGCCAACTGGTGTGGAGATAAACAAGAGAGTGTGCTTTGGGGCTGCACTGGGGCCGGGAGCACACTTTCACTCCTTCCGATCCAATGGCACGGCTGGCCAAAGGGAGCCCGAGTCCTGCTGGCACCGACCCAGCCGCTATTGTGGAAAGGCCACCATCACTGGGCAGGAAAAGGAAGTCGGCACTAAATCAGTGTATATCAAAGGAAGTGAGTGGAAAAAACACAAGTGCTGCCAGAATTCTGAGCAGCTTTTTGCCTTTTTTTTAATGTTTTAAACTAAAAGTTATCTTTACTTCCAACCCTCTGCCTTGGCGACTGCAGGCTTGAGGCCCATCCGCTTCAGAAGACAGGCACTACAGATACATCTGCTTGCAGACAACTGCTGTTGACTTCTGTTGTGGTAGAAAATAGGAAAAGTCTCCATGCCTGAAAGACTACAAAACAGGAGCACAATCCTCTTCCCAATCAAAGATAGGAAAAGAGAAGGAAGACTGAGCTACTGCTGAATTACTATCAGACCTCTGACAGAACTGGAGCTCTTAATAACGTAAGAGCCTGGTACTTTGACATGTTCAGCAAAGAAAACCAATGCTTACTTGATTGGTGAATGACAGGGTAATAATCAGGAATCATCCATAAGCTGGGATAAGAGGAAAAAGTCTGTACAACTAGAATACAGAAGGGGCCCCTTATTACTATACAGTTTACCCATGACAGACACTCGGTACAGTCTGTTAGCTTTGGCATCATTATTTGGATACTTCAGAATGCCAATAAAGGAGATTTTTTTTTTTTTTTTGTTAATAGAATATTTCTGGCACTGAATTTGTCTGTGCAAAAAGAAATGTGGTGTTCAGACACATTTCCAGTGCGTGGATACTCTGCCTTCTTCACAGGATCAAGGAATGTTGCTCCTTCCACGATTAACTTCCAACTAGAAAGGATGGGGAAACTCTTTTTGTCCCAGTTTCAGTCACGTACTTCACAAGCTTTCAGCACTTTGTCTGTTTGCTACTTCATAAAAGCAAACTGCACAGCAGACTCTAGGCAGGATACAAGCAGGTTTGCTGGAACTACTGGTCTAGTTCTCCAGTCCTTCCCTAGTGAACTTACTCTCCCAATTACTTTTGTGTGGATCTGCCTCCAGTTTAGACCCCCCAGTATGGAGATCGTCCATCCTAGCTGAACTGGATTTATTACTTGTCATTAAGACTGCACTGCATTGTTTCAAGGCTGCTCTGAGCAGCCTTCAACCATGGATTTGAATAGGACTGTAGAGTTACCCGGGAGGTTGTAACACAAACTGGGACAACTTGGACAAATCCAGAGAGATGGAAGGCATAAAAATCAGAGGAGTCTTACATGGACCCTTCCACTGACCACTAAGCCATCAGAAACACAAAGGAAATGAGACAAAGGTACAGCTTACTCTCACTTTTCTCATTACCTTTTGTGCACCTATGGTGTGAGCCTTGTGCTCTACTCATCTGGTAATGATGAGAATGAAGGGGTAGGGAATGCAGTACGTTGGACATGCAGTGGCAATTCCTGTGCTGCTGCTAAAATGCTTCATTACAGGAGTGAGGAGAGATTCCAAAACCCAACATAAAAACAAACCCCAAATCAAATCTAGGTTTCACAAACTATGATTGCCAACCTAAATAAGAAGCTTAATGGACTTGCATAAGCTTACCAAATGTCTAACCTCAATGAATCTGGCTTTAGGACACCCCCTTTAGCAGCTCCTCAGCTGTTCAACAACTTAGTAAGGAACTTTGAAACATTCTACTGTAAACGTATTAAGAGCTTTTGAAACTGAACTGCTTTGTCCTGGAATAACCTTTCAGTTTCTCATGGCTTTCCTAAATGCTATTCCATAAATCCTTGTACCCAAAAGGCATGCTTCACAAAAGAAAAGTGGCAGAAATACTCACTGACAGACAGATGCCTACTTCTGGGTTCTGGCTGCTGATAGGGTGTGCTCACATCCCCCACAGACTGGGAAGTTTTAATCCTGACTTGTTTGGGCAGTCCAGAATGGGGCGAAGAACTGGTCTGTTGGGTAAAAGAAAATGAAATGAGCCCCAGGAGCAGTCTGGCCACAGTTTCAAAACCCTCATTCTGTTTAGCAGCAGGAAAGTAGCTGAGAAACAGTTCCAGAACCTGAAATCCTATTAACTTCCCAGAACACAAATAAAAAAGGCAGCAATAGAGCAAGCTTTACAGTTCTGTAAGACAGGAGCAAAACAACTAGAGCCTCAAATCCAATGCAGGACTGACAAGCCTCCATGTTTGTCTTCCACCTGTGGAACCAAGAAGGGGTTCCTAACACCCCAGAGAACAGAACATGGAAGAACCATCAGTTTCTATCAGCCACCTTGGCCAGCAGAGGTAAGTTCTGAACCCTGCACACTTTCAGAAGCAGTCAGACACCAACCTGACTCCCCACAACCTTTAAAGTGAACTGACAATTCAGATGCTCTCAGTGAAAAGAAACTCGAGAGAGTTTAAGAGCAGAACAAGTTTGGAGACGCCAAGATGAATGCTGCCTGTGCTGGTTTTAGTCAGCCTTCCCTAGACATAACATCATTAAGGATGGTTTTTTCCATGGTGCCTTCAGCTCCTTCAAAGCAGAAAAAGGAATGAAAGGAGACATGCTAAAGGAGCTCTCCTTGATTTGTTTCAGAAGACAGAAGGGGTAACTGCAGCATGCTTGGTAGGGAGAGGAACTGGTGGATGGGTTTGCAATTGATGGCAGTAAGATGCTGCCCAAGAAGTGTTGCCTTCCTTGTGCCACAAGTAACTGCAAAGCATTTACAGACTCCAAAGGATGCTCACTTGGAACTATTGAGGCTGCAGCTTCAGGCAGGCAACACCTCTGTGTGATACAGGGAGATACAGGGAACAGCAGCTCTTAACAGAGGACTGACCAGGACACCAGCTTCTCCTGGCACAGGGTAAGGAGGGAGCCTGATTTAAATGACAAACTCTACCATGAATAGATTCATGGGAGTTGAATAAAGGGTGCAGAGGGGCCAGCACTCATGTGGACAGGCTGACTGTAGTACTGTTAACCAGCTCTTCCCATTAGAGAAAAGAAAGAAAGGACCAACAGAAGCGGGTTGCTTGATAAAAGCAAGCCCAAGTGAGCCACAGAAACAGGTACAAGGCAGATGAATATAAATGCTATTCGCCAACACAGGCTCTCAGTACCTGGCACACAGCTGCTGCTGTAGAGTTCATTTGGTTTAGATACTATTTGTGCCAAAGTCGTGGCATTACCTTTCCATCCCCAGCACAAAAAAGAGCACAACCAAAACAAAATCTGCATCCTGTACTGCAGGAAAAATAATGCTTCCCGCTCCCTCAGTGGGATGAGATCATGCAGCCAAGAAACCTCCTTCAGACTTATGGGCTTTTGCTTTATCACATGTAGGACTCTCCTGTCAAGAGCTGCAGAGGAAGCTGGAGGAGAAGGGGGAAACAGCGGCACTTACTGAAGACTTTGCTGTTTGTTTCTGCTTTCAGCAAAAGAGGAAAAAACAGCTAATAAAAGGACAGCACCAGAGTGCTGGCTCCTGGCTGGTGCAGGGATGAGATTTACTGAGTGGCTTATGTAAAGCTGAGATATTATCGTTTAGCATCTGGTTTGCAGTCTGAAGACACTGACATTAAAAGAGGGCTGTAAAAGAGGGCTGTTTCACTGTGCTATAGCAAAAGTCGAGGCCACCTTTTACAGACAGTTTCCTGACAACACAGGACAAAGTCTGACTATGCTAGGTCAGACCAAAGGCCTTCTTGCCAAGTATTGTCTTCAGAACAGCCAGAAACAAATGTTAAGGGAAAGGGCATAGGACAAGGAACATCATCATCCCTCCTACACCTTTCCAGCTTTTGGCATCCAGTCATCTGGGAAAGGGCTGTTAACACTCCTGAAGGTCTTTGTATTTCTGTTAACATGGACTATCAAATAGTGAGAAGTATATTTCAGTTCTCCTGACAGTTCCAAGGATTACAGGTGCAGAACTTGAACAGGGATGAACACTCAACATGAACAAGCTGCTATTAACAGAGCTTTCAAGTCTCTTCAAGAGAATTTGGCAATTTGCAGCTAAGACATCCAAGCTCTCAAGGTCTTTGGCTCAAAAAGCTGTATGACCTTAACTGAAAACAAGGCACTGGCTGAGTGAACAAAGTTCTGCAGGAACAGATCAGGAATAAAGGAAAGTTCAGACTCTTTTTGCCCTCTTCAGCTTGTGGTTCAGTTCACTGTTTAAAACAAGCACCTCTGGGAGCTTGACTTGTAGTCTTATTTCTCATGTCATGATCTCTTCTGCTGAAAAGAACAAACTTCATTGACGCTCAATGCCACAGTCACCTGTGGTATCAGAAAGTGAACTGAGACACAATCAAATTCATCTTAAGTGTGAATACCCCATTATTAGCTAAAAGCAACTTAGTTTCTAGGGAGTAAGGCTGGATTTAAGGCTACAGAACTGAAAAAGCACTGGGAGCTGCCCTCAGGCTTCTCACTCAGGAACAAAGTGCTAATAGCTTGTCTGCAAGGACAACCTGTGCCTTCTGAAAGGCAAGATAATTACATACACTTCCAACACTGTCCTATTAATCAAAAGTAGAATAAGTTATCTGCAGAGCAAACTGATGAAGTGTTTTCTGAATGCAGTTACAGGTTGCTACCATCAAGTTTCAGAGACTTAAAGGTAAGAAAACCCCCTTCATTTTGCTGCAGCCACAGAAGTTGTTACCTACATGGTTTCTGTCTGGAGACAGTAATAATATTCTAAGGCTTTTCACATTAGAGCTTCGGTCTAAGAGATCTACTGCTTTATCCAGGTCATCTTGGTTTTTCAAAGGAATAGAGAGCTGCAAAATAAAGAACAAGGAAAAAGTCATTAGAAAAGACAGGAAAAATAAACCTACAACAGGTATTTAAATAAACATTGGGAAAAAATCAGAGTATAAGATAGCATTCTGACGGCTCAATTATTCCATTACAATGAAAGGTCTTCATGTCCTTTTCAACAAGGTTTATTACTCCATGCCAAAGAAATGGTTGACCCATTCCTTAGAGGAATTGACCATCCACACTAATACTAACTGCTACCTGAGTTTACTGTCTGCAAAGAACAAGCAAGAGAACATTGTCTCCCAATACTTACAAATCCAGACCTACAGATCAAATGAGAACTGGGTTTCAGAGACTGACTGGTGTGAAGAAGACTTTTAAAGAAGGATTTAAAACTTATCACACCCCATGGAGTTATTCTCAGACACCCTCTATTGTATTCTACAGCACACTCACATCTTGCAATGTGAATGTTGTTAATGCTGAAGAACCCCTTTCCTTTTTGTCCAGCTCCTACTGGTGAATGGGGTTTTGCATCTTTCTCAGTGGGAGAGCACCACCACAACAATAAGAAACAAGGAAAAGCCTGGGTGTCCAGAGAGAAAGCCAACAAAACGCATTAGATGATTAACATGGACAACCCAGCTCCTCAAAGACAAATGTTATTCCCCATGGCACTTTCTTTTCCCAGTGACAGTGCCCCCCCCCCCCCCTTCATCTCATACCGAGGAAGTCCCCTGCTCTCTAACACCCCTTGTTCCTCTGATAGCTGGGCAATAAGCAGCAAGTGTTGTAGCCAGCAGGAGGCAAGTGTGTTACAAAAGGCTGGTCAGTAGTCAAGCACCACAAAATACTGCCTCTGCTATTGGGCAGCTGAAGAAATGACTCTGGGACTGCCTGCAGTCCTCAGACTCTATCTATATTGGCCTGCAATAGTTGCTTTCAGCAGTCAAAATACTTCAAATACCTTGGTTTTACTTCCCACAGAGAGTCTCCCAAGAAATACAGTAGAAAGAAGCAAAATGATGATGCGCATACAACACACACATCAGTGTGATGTGCTGTCAGTATCAGCAGGTTTCCCTCCAGAGCACTGCTTCCATTATGGTTGGTATTAGAGGGAAGAACTGAAAGTTAAATTTAAGGCTAAAGAATTTGGGATGGGAAAAGGAGGTGTCATCCAGAGAGGGTGATACACGCTCTGAACACTGATACCAACACTCTGTACCTCATTGTTCATGTAGTGGAGGTCCAGGGGCTGCCCAAAGGCTGTCTTCACTTTCTGCTGCACGTCTTCGTAGCGCACGGGACGGACAAATGGGATAATTCTGGAATGAAAGAGATATTCCTGACATTGCAATCAAATTAAGATGGCAGAGCCATGAAAGACGCATTTAAGTGTTCTCCTTCCATCCTCAAGTGGGTACTGACCCTTTCTAATTTGAGTTACTAAGCATCATTTTGACAGGGAATTCTTGAGCTCTGGCCCATTTCCAAGGGGTTTGTCAAAATGCAATATTCAAGGGAAGGTATCAAATAGAGTGCATGCCTTTATCCCTGGATAGAAAAGACTCTACGAACAAATGTCTTTTACATAACATGATACGGATCTCCTATGAACTTTGGCTTAAAGAGTACTGCCTCAGGCACAAACACAAATACATTCAATGAGAGCTGAATTCCAAGTTGCAGAAGGCCCAAAAGAACAAACCAAGTGTTTGCTTTAAGCAGTGCAGCACCCAAACTCAAAAGGTGCTCCCTAAAACGCTCCAAGATGGGTCCCAGTTGGAAGGTTTCAACAGTTAGTCCTGAACTCCCGAGGGAAGCATCAGCAGGAGGATGCAAAGGAATCTGAACCCCCCCTTTCCCAAGGTGGTCTGGTTTTATTACTGTTTCGCCAGGTGTCAAATATCCTGGGTCAAGACTGGAGGATCCAAACGTGAACTACACTTGACAACCCACTCTTGTAACAAACCAAGGACATCTACTGCTCAGAAACCCAGTTTTCACCTCTCTGCTGCACAAGGCCAGATGGTTGCTTGTTCTTGCCTTCGGGCTCCTGCAACCAGACTTCTCACCATCTGCTTCCATGGGCCACGAGGCCACACTGCGTCTCCACTATGGGCAGCTTGAACAAACAGCTCCAGGACATAGCTGACAGCCCCTATCCTTCTGCAAGCTATTAGAAAACTTCGATAGCTGCTTACCTCTCAGCTGCAACTCACATCATATCATGGAATGGTTGGGGCTGAAGGGAGCTTAAAGCTCATCCAGCTCCAACCCCTGCCACAGGCAGGGACACCTTCCACTGGAGCAGCTTGCTCCAAGCCCCTGTGTCCAACCTGGCCTTGAACACTGCCAGGGATGGGGCAGCCACAGCTTCTCTGGGTTCTCCTTGAACCTGAAAGAACTCTGCTTTGGCATAGCTGAAGTCCTGCCACAAAAAGCTTTATTATTAGCACTGCTCAACTATTTTACCATCAGGCATATACAGGAAGACCTGAATGGACCACAGAAACTCAAGACCCATCTCACTCCCAAGGGCAACTCTCGGAGCTCAGTGAAACCCCACGTCACCTTTGGGGAAGCTCACACGAGCTCATGCTTTGGATAGAAGGCTCAGTTGCCAAGATGTCCATCAGCCTGCTTTGCCAGCACTGGGTAACCTTTCCCGATGTGCAGCTTTTGTTTTAAATAGCTCCAGTGTTCACTGGCTTCCCCAGCCCCTTCCCAGGAAGGGCTCATTGTGCTCTCAGACCTGCAACATTTAGCTCTTTAGAAAGAATTGTCCTTGTTAAAAAGCAGCCCACAATAACATTTCCAACGTATTACCACGAAACCCATCCATGAAATTACACTGCTCTGGCCCCATACAAACGTAATTTAGCTCTCAGTTGAACCGAAGGCCCTTATAAAGGCTTCCATTCTACACTCAATGCATTCAAAAGCAGTGTTGTTCTCAGGTGCCACAAACTCTATTAGTTTAAAAACCCTCTGTGCACTCTTCTAACGCAAAATCATGGACTGCAGGGTTTAAGGAGCCCATTCCTGCCTGACCACCTTAAATATTTGTGGTTAGATCTGGCAGCTCCTCTGAAACCAAGCACACACACTTACATTCTCAGTGCAAGCTCGCTGTCTGTAACTGCATACCACTTTGGGAATGGGGAATTCAGGCGAGGGTCACTGCATAATTAGACTAGAACACAATCAACCTTTTCATTTTAATGTTACTTCAGAAAAAAGCCCACCCTTTCTTTTCCCTCTGTGCCACCTGAAAAGCACTCAGGCAGAAGAAAGGCAAGATGACAGCACTGCGGTGACAAGATTTTGCTTCCGAGTTCCCTTGCCCTAACGTGGTAGCACAAGAACTTGTGACACATCACACAGTGCTCTGCTGTAGTCATGGAACCATAGAATGGTTTGGGTTGGAAAGGACCTTAAGATCATCCAGTTCCAACCATCCAACCTGGCTTTGAAAGCTGCCAGGGATGGAGCATTCACAACTTCCTGGGGCAACCCATTCCAGTGCCTCACCACCCTTCTTCCTTATATACAACCTGAACTTCCCCTGTTTCAGTCTGACCATCACCCCTTGTCCTACCACTCCAGTCCCTGATGAAGAGTCCCTCTCCAGCATCCTTGTAGCCCCCTTCAGACACTGGAAGCTGCTCTGAGGTCTCCATGCAGCTTCATTTCTTCAGGCTGAACAGCCCCAATGTTCTCAGCCTATCTTCATATGGGAGGTGCTCCAGTCCCCTGATCATCCTCGTGGGCTCCTCTGGCCTTGCTCCAACAGCTCCATGTCCTTCTTATGCTGAGGACACCAGAACTGCACACAATGCTGCAAGTGGAGTCTCACCAGAGCAGAGCAGAGGGGCAGAATCCCCTCCCTCGACCTGCTGGTCACGCTCCTTTTGATGCAGCCCAGGATATGGCTGGTTTCTGGGCTCAAGCACACACTGAAGCTGGCTCATGTTCAATTTCTCATCAACCAACACCCCCAAGTCCTTCTCTGCAGGGCACACAATGCCTTTGATACAGGAGAGTGCTGACAAGATCTGGCTGACAAAGGTGGCCGCACCTTCCAGCTATGATTGCTTTGAAAACTTCTCCTTGAGCACCAAAAACCAAGGTTTTTTTCTGGAGACAGAATTCACCACTTGAGACTTTGGTGACTGAAACAGTTCAATGATAGAGGAAAACTTTACAACTTATTCTCACTGCCTGCTTTGCCAACTACCTATATTTGACAAAGAAGGATACCTGAGGAGGAGCTTAAGCAGCTCAGTGAGCTTTGATAGCAATGGGCTATAAGAATCACTACATACGACTTGCACTGTTGTACTGTCAGCATTAAATTGGCATTTATTGTGGAGCGTGACCTACTTCAATGTTGAAAGCAGTATCTGGGATGGGAGAAACCAAACGATTCCCATAGGATGTCTGTGAAGAGCAGCACATAAGAAGAAATAATCTTCCCTTGGTGTATGTGTTGCTCAGCCACAGCAGGACAGTGATAGTGAGAGGTCATCAGGAAGTGAGAAACTAGAAAAGAATGCCACTAATTTGATCAATTTCATTTGGTTTTAATTAAATGAAACCGAAAGAGAACATATCTGAAATAAGGCTATCAGCTTTTTAATGTTACTGCAATTCACAAATAGCTCTTGTGGAAATAAATCAAAGCATTGTGTGACACACCAAATTGTGTATGGCCTGTTTGCTATTGCCTTTAGTGTGTGTTTTCCATGTAGGAACAAGGAAAATGAAGCCAAAACCAGACTGAACCTAAATTATTGATGACTAAATTATTCCACAAGGCAAAGGATCAGAGTAGTGAAGACAGACTTACCGTCTTTCCCCATTGTGTTCAAACTTGATCCTTACATCGTTCTGCAGGAGAAAGAACAAAAGGTTAGTTCACAATGCGCACATAATAGCACCCAAATGGATCAGAATATGATCTTAATGCCAGGACACAAAGCAGGTCAATTTGTGATCGCTGTTGGCATCACCTCCTCAAAAGGCTAACCAAGACACAACAAGTCTGATAACTCTCTCCATGGAAGCAGACTGTGGACAAGAGGCTGACACCATGAGGAATGGAGAAATTACCAAAGGAGAAAGAGAAAGAAAGGAGTAAAAGAGAAAGAGAAAAAAAGGAGTAAAATCAGCGTGGAGAACACTCCTTAGGGGAAGCCCTTAGAGCAGCTCCCATTGCCTAAAAGGGCCGGCACCAGGGACTGCAGTGACAGGACAAGGGTGAATGAGTTTAGACTTAAACAGGGTAAAAATCAGGTTGGATATAAGGAAGAAGCTCTTCCCTGTGAGGATGCTGAGGCGCTGGCACAGGGTGCCCAGAGAAGCTGTGGCTGCCCCATCCCTGGCAGTGCTCAAGGCCAGGTTGGACACAGGGGCTTGGAGCAAGCTGCTCTCGTGGAAGGTGTCCCTGCCTGTGACAGGGGTTGGAACTGGATGAGCTTTAAGCTCCCTTCCAACCCAAACCATTCCATGATTCTATGCTAAAACTAAGCTGTAATTTGAATTAAACAGAGGAACTATAGGGAAACCTAATCTATCTTTTATACTGCATGGCAAAAATCAGAGCTAGCTTCCAACTGTGTATTCACCTGAACTGAAGCCAATTTTCTTTCTGCATTCTCAAAGCAACCATGTTTTCTTCTATGGGAAAAAAGAGAGAGATCCAGGGAACGTGTTGCATTCTTTATTCTTAAAACATAGATTAAATCTCTGCTTTTGCAGAAATGCAGCCCCCAAAACTCCAAACTCTGAAGTTACAAAGAAGTTAACTATTAAAGTGCAAAGGGGTCATCATCCATATCTGGCAGCTGGCTATAAGCACTGACCATGCAACCTGTGCACTTCACTCCAAAGATGCTCCGTGGCACGGAAGAGCCAACGCTCTGAACTGTCAACTCTGGAGATCAAAGTTCAAATCCCAATTTAGGTCACAAAGATAAAAATAAAAGGGCAAAAAAGCTGCTCTGATATGACTCCATCATTCCTGCTGCACAATTTATGTGATTGGAATAGATTAAGCCATCTGTGAAAGCCTCAGACAATAGGCAATCATACATCGAGGAACTTCAAAAAAATGGGGCCAGGAAATGCTCTTTAGCTGGAGGAAGTATCTGGCAGGCCCAGTGGTCAAGAATGCAGTTCAAAGGGACCCATGCAATCACCATGAGTACACGGTATTCCTGCAGCAGCACCCTGGCTACAGAACTGAGCACGAGAAATGAGCTTCCCCATTAGAGCTACACTCATCTGCAGGAGAGGTACACAGAGGTTTAGCAAAGACTTCTCCAATGTGGGAAGAGAAAGAGAGCTGCTTTTAACTGAATAGTAAAGATAAAAATGCAACAGACAGCATAGGAATAAAGAACTCTAAAAGATGCCCACCAGCCAGCTACTGGTGGAACAGCTGTTTCTTGCACATAAAGGATGGAGGAATGATCCCTTTATATTCAGATTTGCAGGAAATCAAGGCTCTTTGGAAACCTTTCTTCAACCCAAGGTACCTAAGGAAACTGAAATACCTTTTTCAACTCCACTGCATGCTTTCAGCGCTGTAATCTGTAACAAAGGGAAGGCGGGGGGGTGGAATACGGCATCTCTCTCCCTGTGCTTCTTCCAAAAGGATCAGATGTTGGCCATTCGGGTCTAAGAAAAGGTGTTCAAAGTGATCTTGGCTCTTACATTTCAGAAGGAACTTGCAGGAGTTAAGCATCAAGTGCTTTTGGTGTCCTTTGAAAGCAATGAACCTACCACCTGTATAAGCCATTTTTTAAAGCAACTCACATAAACTATCCTAAGAGATGAGTAAAAAAGCAAACCCAAGTTTAGTACTTTGGCATTGCAGTTCTGTGCTGCTGCATCATAGCTAATGATCACAGATTCTGATTTAAGACATCACTGAATTTATGTTTCAAAGTGATTTGGAAAGGATTTTGTACTCCTCCATCTATGGATTTGTCCTGCACATTCAAGGAAATCCCAGCTCCCAGCTGAACAAGGAGATTACGAGCAGACAAAGCATAAGGAAGAGACAGACATGAACTCTAAAGCCTGCTCCAAAAACCTTAAGCCTGTAATACGAATAAACCTGGAAGGAGTTACTTTACTGATACAGGCAACTTCTCCCGTTAAGTAATGTTAGTCTAACTGCCAGGAACTTGATTTAACTCAGGCAGTAAGGGACAAACAAGTCTTGACTGAAATTGTTGCTTTTGCATTGAAGTGTTTCACTCAGATGGCACGCAGCATATACTGACAGAGCAATACTATTCTGTCCTTTCTTGCTACCAGAAAGCCAATGCAATAGTTTTCTCTACAAAAAGAGTCTCTAGCAATGTTGGATGAACGTAGAGAGACTGATCCTGCACTTACTACCTTGGAAAAAGTATTTCTTTTGGAAAAATGGATTTCACATCCCCATACCCAAATAAATGAGTTTCATTCCTGTCCTCATGTGACATATGATGGGTAACTCCAGAGAATCTTCCCCATTAAAGACACTGCCTCTATTTATCCACCTGCAAATAGCTGTTTCCTTTTTCACTCCAGGTTTAGTACAGTTCCACTAGAGCCAGTCCTTTTGGACAATCCTTTCCACTGTTCTTCTTGGATCAACTTCAGTTGAATGACCTTTTATCAGGATCTTCATTCTGTATTCACATGCAGCCCGAGTCATGTGAAGATGAGACCAGCATTAGTTCATTATCCAACTGACTACTTTCTGCAGCTTTAACCTGCAGTGACTTCCTTTTGCATCAGAAATGGAAATCCTGAATAGGAAATCCTCGATTCCTTTTCATCATGAAGCTTTTCAATTCCCTGCTTTGACTTGAAGTACCACTTTCACTATAATGAAAAGTGCATCATACTGCTACATCATGGCAGAATGAGGAAAGAAAAGCTTTCCTGACCTTCCACACCTGCTTAAATGAATTCCATAAAGGTCACTGCACAAAACTTCCAAACATGCTCCTCAAAATTGCTAATATTGAAGTGGAAACCAGTTTTCTTACCGGGATTTTCTTTTCTTCCACTGCAGAGGCACACTGGGTGGTGATTGCAGGGCTGCCCAGGACGGGGGGACTGCTGGCATTGTGTTTCTTCTTTAATAGAAGGCATTAAAAACAAAATGGCAAATATGATCATGAAACCAGAAAACCACTTGGAAAACCTTTTAGCTAATTTCCACAGACCGAACCCCATCAAAAACATGGGTAGGGGTGAAAGGCAGAATATAAAGTAAAGAGCTACCAAGTTGGCAACACGGCCAGAGCAAGAACAGGGAGCTAACCCACTTGTGATGCCCTGGCTGGCAAAACCCACCACAGACCACAGGCAACAGACCCACTCTTAAACTACTCTGTCCCTTCCACCTCCATGTAATGATTCTGAGGACTCACCAAATGGCTTCTTACCTGTTTGTTGGAGTGAGCAGTGTCTTTGTTCTTCATGGTATCATATCCAGTCAGTCTGTGCCGTCGGCTCATCTGGAGTGCTACCAGGTCCTTCATGATGGATTTCAAGGCCTCTTGTTCATCTGTGATGCACATGAATTTTATTAGTAAGTAAATATCAACTATAACACATCTGCACTTGTTTTCTGCTGGCTCATAGAAAGACAATCCTTCTTCGGATACAAATACACTCAAATTCATGTAATTTCATTCAAAGCCCAAACTTAACCTCATATCATGAAGTAGTAAACAGACAGATGACATTTAAGTCACCTGTCCAATGTCACATAAGGATATGGTCATAGTTAGGGTTAGAATAAATCTTCCCAACCCCTAGTTCCGTTCTGACAGCTTCACAACCAGCAGCACAACTTGGACAGATGTGATAGATCATCAGAGGGCATTTCAGAAGAGCAAACTGATGTGCTTCTGCCAAGGAAAACCTGGGAAGAATCTGTTCTTTCTAATTTTATACCCTGTTAACTCAGAATTCTTGCTTCCTAATGGAACAAACCACAGCCAGGAGAGAGGAAAATGAGAATCTGGACAAGGTCACCTTCGAATATCCCTGAACACAAACCCACTTGCATTGGTTTCCCCAATGCATTCCTCTCTGACCCCAAAACAAGCCAATGGAACAGAGCTCAGACCATTTCATAAGACTTCAAGACCTACTGAACAGACCCAAACTGCAGAGCATTACAAACACTGTCTGCTGGCAGGGCAGCGGGTTCAGTTCAAGGCTTCTTGCAAAGGCAGGACAACAAAAACCACACACTAAGATTTTTCTTAGGCATCCTATTAACTGCAAATGACTTTCCAAAGCTCAGATTCCTGATGTAACCAATTTAAAGTGTTCTACCAGGTGTCTAAAAGCTACTGAAAAGAATCTTTTGGTTTTGCAACCACAACAATCCTAAATTCCTCCACACTGCAAAAGGTAGAAGACGTTGACACATGAGGTTTGGATCAGAATACGAGTGATACAGTGAACTACCAGCGTAACACAGCACATCCGCTGCAATCGCTCAGGACCTGCTGCTGGCACACACATAGAATCCCAGACTGGTTTGGGTTGAAGGGACCTTAAAGCTCATTCACTTCCAACCCCCTGCCACAGGCAGGCACACCTTCCACTGGAGCAGCTTGCTCCAAGCCCGTGTCCAACCTGGCCTTGAGCACTGCCAGGGATGGGGCAGCCACAGCTTCTCTGGGCACCCTGTGCCAGCGCCTCAGCACCCTCACAGGGAAGAGCTTCTGCCTAAGAGCTCATCTCAGTCTCCCCTCTGGCAGGTTAAAGCCATTCCCCTTGGCCTGTCCCTGCAGGCCCTTGTCCCAAGCCCCTCTCCAGGTTTCCTGCAGCCCCTTTAGGCACTGGAGCTGCTCTCAGGTCTCCCCTTCAGGAGCCTTCTCTTGTCCAGGCTGCCCCAGCCCAGCTCTCAGCCTGGCTCCAGAGCAGAGCTGCTCCAGCCCTTGCAGCATCTCCATGGCCTCCTCTGGACTCATTCCAATGGCTCCATGTCCCTCCTGTGCTGCTGCCCCAGAGCTAGACACAGTGCTCACTGGACTCCTGGGCTTGTGCCTCACATACCAAGCCTCAACAGGTTTCAGGGATAAAGCATTCTTTCCTTACATCCAGTTAAATTATTCCTGATACTGAAGCATAATTTAGGCATGAAATTGGAAGCAGTGACTAGATCAGCTCCGAGTATGCCCAGAAGAATAATTGGGAGTGAACGCTCCCAAAATTTAGGAGCAAAAAGGGGGGAACATACACCTATTTGTAAGGGGGCATCATCTAAACCTTCAGTCAGAACTGAAACTCACACCTGATAGCTTCTGCCCAGAGGTTCTACTTTAGCATCCTGAGAGTACCAAATACTAGAGCAGAGCTGCTTCCACTACGGACTTCACCACCAGAAACATCATGCCCAGCCCAGATGACAGAGGGGAATGGAAAGAGTCTCCAATGCCTTTGCAGGTGTTAATTAGAGTAAAACTCTACAAAGAGGAAGCTGAGCAGAGAAAATAAAGTTACTTCAAAAGATTAAGAAGCAAAATCAAAACCCACCAAAGCTCTGCTGTCCAAGACAAGCCAAAGGAGACAGTAAGTACATTGTGGCAGTGGGGAAGGGAGAGAGCTCCTTGGAATTCCAACAGCATGGAGAAGAAGCAAGGGGTCTAAGTAACACAACCAAAGCAAGAGGTTGCTGTTTGAAAAGCACGTCAGCCAAAGGAAATAATTGCTGGGACCTATTTCAGCACTAAGTAACCCCTTGTGGGAGGAAAATGGGAAAAAAAGGGTTGTGAATGAAGTGAAACTTCCAGGTAACCAACAGCACAACTTTCTTCTTTGTTTCCAACTTTCTATTGGAATGCTTAACATTTTACCTTGCTGGAGTGGTTCCGCCTGACTTACTCTTTAATCTGGTTTGGTATTAAGCATAGCTTTGGAGTCACCCAGCAGACAGAGACAAGAAACCATGGCCTGGCATATCCCTGGAGTGCCTACCACCCAAAACATGCTGTGAAGAGCTGGGATACAAGTTTTCCACTACAGTGCAGTTTGGGTTTGGCCAGATACCAGGAGGATGAAGAAGAGCTTGTCTTGGCAGAGTTCCTTTGGGCAAGAAGCAAAACAGCTCTGAAAGCAGTGTATAACTAAGCACTCCTGACAAGAAATCAAGTTAAGCACAGAATATGGGTAAGAATTCACATCTAAACAGTACTGGAACATCACACAGGAATAAAGATCAGTGTCTGCAACGCAATGGTTGGCTACAGGCTCTGGATCCCAAAGCCTAGGTGCTTGCAGCCCAGAAAGCCAACCGTGTCCTGGGCTGCATCATCTCCCTTCTGGCAGGTTCAAGCCATTCCCCTTGGCCTGTCCCTACAGGCCCTTGCCCAAAGCCCCTCTCCAGCTTTCCTGCAGCCCCTTTAGGCACTGGAGCTGCTCTGAGGTCTCCCCTTCAGGAGCCTTCTCTTCTCCAGGCTGCCCCAGCCCAGCTCTCTCAGCCTGGCTCCAGAGCAGAGCTGCTCCAGCCCTCTGCGGCTTCCTCTTAGCATATTTATTATTATTTCTAATACACTAAGACATGAAACTCTTTAGGGCAGCACCTGGGGAGCATCTAAACCCCAGTCAGGGCACTGCCAGTTCTGCATCTCACCCCCTGTGAGCTCAGATTCCTCCGCAGACAAGTGCTGATGCTGAAACCTGACATGTGTCCATGCAAAGAGGCACTTACGGCACTGTCAGAGGCTGGTGAAACAGTTTCAGGTGAATTTGAGTCTTACGTGATTATATCTGTTATAACAGTCTTACACTGAGCTAACTGGCTCTCTGGCACCAAAACACACCTTCTGCAATTCAATCCTATGGTGGTGAGATAGGAAATTATGAAGTATTTAGCTTTTAAAAACATAAAGGTCAAATATTGATCTGAGCTAGTGCAGGGAAAGAAAACACTTCCAGTTAGGACAGTGCTGGGATGGATTGAATGCTGAGAAGCACAAGCACTGTATTTCCATCAGAACAGAGGATTTCCATAGGATGCCTTTAAAGCAGCACGTGCACCAGCATCCCATTAATCACACAATGCAAAAGCCCTCCCAGCTGAAACCCCAGCAACTCCTGCAGTGCACTGAGAACCCCTGTTTCCCTTGGTCTCCAGCAGGTCTGGGAAACACAGCTCTGCTTTGTGCGGGAGAGATGTTGTCCAGGAAATGCTTTTCATGTTTGAAAAACTATACTCCAAGATCTTTATAACATCGATAAAAGGGAGCTGCTCCTCACAGAGAAAGCTGCTCCTCTGCATAGAGCTAATACCTGGTTTACACCAGGTCTGAGCAAGTTGGCATATCTGCTGTGGCAGAGATGGAAACAGCTCCGAAATCACGGAGTAAAAGCATCTTCACGTGGGTGAAAGCAGGAAGTCTGGGCACTCCTCTAATGCAGGATGCTTTTAGACAGCAGGATCATAGAAGACACAGAACCACAATGATTTGGGTTGGAAAGGGCATGATGCCACACTGGTTTAAATGAAAGACATGAACAAGTGTGTGCATTCTCTCCTACCCTGACAGTGAAGCTGATGGTGCAGGCAATCAGCAGAGCTAGGGCCAATGAGGAAATTCCTCAAGAGAGGCACACAAACTGAGTCTACCTTAAAGCTCTGAAATAAAAGCCTTGGAAAAGGTTTCACTTGGGAGTGGCCAGACTCAGTGGTCACGAAGCACTGTTCTGCTCCATCATTCGGAAATCACAAGTGAGCTGGTTTGTGGGCTTCAAAGAAAAAGCAGAGCTTCTACATCTTCTGTATTTGGGGTTCCTCTCCTCACCCCTAAACTAAACAGAAAGGCTGGGATTTAAGCTGCTCCTAACCTGGAGGCTGAGCCCTGCTTCCCGTGTCACTGCTGCTGTGAAGCCGGGAGCTGGGAGCTCAGCTCTGGGTGCATGTGAGAGCCAAGGGAAGGAAGTGACACAGGCAGGAAAAGAGAGCGGAGCGAGGGAACGACTCCGGGCCTGCCGCACAGCGAGCACCGCGCTCCCCTCCGCTGCCCAGAAATGGATTTCTTGGAATCAGAAGCAAGCGCCTGTGCTTTAAATGCTGCCAAAGGAGCTCTCTGTAGGGAAATAAACCTCAGTCACAACCCCTGCAGCAAAGGGACAGGGAACTGCTCCCAGCGACCCAGAGCTGCAATGAAGGAGTGATGACAAACTGCAATGGCAAGATCCCACTGCTGCCCATCCCGGGGGGCTTTCAGCCCAGCTGATGGAAAACAAGATGGGAGAGAAGCCAAGTGCAATCCAGCCTCTTATGCAGTATTATTCATCTATCTGATCACAATGCTTAATGAATTCAGACCTTTCCTAGCAGGAGTCATGTGCGTGCAGCTGGAAAACACTTCCATGGAAATCCAACCTCTTCCTTCTCAACTATTCTGAGCTTCTGTACCACCTGGTTGCTTTAGAGGGGACGCAGATCCAGCACGTTCCAAGGGAGAAGCCTACTGATGGATCTGGATGTACTTGTTGCACTTGCAAACACAGAGGAGATGAAGTTGGTGGACTTTTCCTTGAGCAACCCAATGTTTTATGGATTGACGGTATAAGAACTATAGACACAGACTAACTAAGGAAGGCCAGCCTCTGAAAGCTTAGTTGTAGGGAATAAACATTGAAGTTGTAACCCACAAAGCCCCGCAGCTCCACTTAGGACAGCAGTACTAACTCCCTTGCCAACATGCAAACAGGAGTAAGTCCTGCTTTAGAGCAATTATACTCTTCATTCTAGTACAGCAGACCCTTCTTTAAACTGAAAAAGGATCCAGAGAACTCAAAAAGCCCTCTCTAAGCCGTTCTTTATGTGGGGTATAGCGGGCAACAGGATTAATTGCTCCATTCACTCATGGCAACATCTGATAGCAACGTTTTACTCCTGAAACAGGGCTCCTCTGACTCCTTTGCTTGCTTGTATGCATTATTGATTGGGTTGTGTGGTAAATGAGAGCTCAACAGCAACCTCAGAGAGAAACCTCCTGTTCTGACACTCTCAGGGTGCAGTTAACACCGCAGGAACACTAACCCCTACTAAGTTTAAGCACATAAATTCCCATCCCCGATGCTGGAGGCTGCAAAACCCCCTTCACCCCGCACCCTGCCCCACGGCTCCGGCCGGCTGCAGCGCTGCTGCGCGGCTCCCCGCGCCCCCTGGCACCACACGGACGGGACGATACCCACAGCGAGCGGCCTCCGCCGCTGCGCTCTGCAGCCACCCGGGGCCCCGGAGCCACCGCAACCGCCGGGCCCGTCCTCACGGCCCCGCCGGAGGCCGCATCCCGACGGACGATCCAAGGCCGCGGGTCGCCCCCTGCCCGCCGGGGCCTGGCCCGCTGCCCCCCGCCGCGGACCCCCCCGCCCGCCCCTCAGCCCTACGGCGGCTCTCACCCATGTCTGCGGGCGGCGGGCCCGCGGCCGGCAGGCGGCGGCGCGCTGAGGTGCGGGGCTGTCACCGCCGCGGCTCCATGGCGGCCGGGCCGAAGGGGAGGGCTCAGAGCGGCCGCCACATTCCCAGGCCCGCGCCGCCGCCGCCTGCTTCCGGCGGCCGCGCTCCCTCCGGGGGCCGCCGCGGCGGCGGAGCAGGGTGTGCGGGGCGGGGGCTCGGCCGCTCCCGGTCGCTCCCCGCCGCCGCCGCCACAGGGCGCCCGGGCCGCGAGCAAAACAAACCGCTCGGCGGCCGCCGCGCACCCGCCGCCGCCTGCCAATCACAGGGGCCGACCCGCCGCCGCCCGCCAATCCGCGCCCAACGAGACGCACCACCCGGCCAATGGGCGTGCGAACAGCAGCGACGCCCGCCGAGACGCCCGCCAATGACAGGGGCCCGTTTCGCTCGTGGGTTAGCCCCGCCCTCAGCGTGCTGCCAATCAAAGTGACGGCTGGGTCCTAGAGCCCGCCCGGGTCCTAGAGCCCGCCCGCATAGAGCGCGTCCCCTCCTGCGAGCAGCCAGGAACCAGCATCATCCCTGTCCGCCACCCTCAACAGGGCACATCCCACCACCTCGTCCTTCCCTACCTGTTCCCAAACATCAGCGTCCTGTGCAGCCCCAAACCACGTCTCCCCTAAGCCACTGTTCTGGGTGGACAAAGTGGCCGGGAGGAGGAAATGCACCCTGTGCACACTGACCCCGTTGTTTTGCTGTACTAAGTAGAGCTTAATTGTTGCTTTAAAACCACTTTGTTTTAAGACGGGGAAAGAACTAACCAAACCCCAGCCAAAACCCCAAACCCAAGAATGTTAAAAAGCCGAAAAGACACTGAAAGCAGGAGTCTTTTAGTTTCAAAAGTAAAGAGTTAGGTAATAACTTAGAGCATCACCCAGCATCCATGGCAAGAGATGTTACCTCTACCAGCTCCTCTAATGAAAGATCCGGTTGCCACCACAGGTCCCCCACTTTATGAGGTTGTTGCAGCATATTTGCTGCCAAAGGGACAGCAGCAGTCTGGTTTCTCATAGAGAAGCACAGCCCTCCTTCCCTGGCATTGCAATAGGCACCCTGCTGCTGGGAAACCCACCTCCAGCAGATGTTTTAGCAGCTGCTTTTCAATCTGGCAACCATATATAGCAGCAAATGCATTAGGTTTTAAGTGGGTTTTGCTCATGGGCAATGCAGCTGCAATGGCAAAGAGGTTACATCGACTGGGTAAGGCACACAAAGAAGAATGCTACGTTGGAAATGGCTCAAAAGGGTGGGCAAGCGCAGGAATGCAAAGCCCACAGAGCAGGAGGAAGTTGGGACTTGGCCAAAGCATGACAACACTATCTGTGATCTCATTGAGTACACGGGATAATAACAAGATCTCACAATGTCATAGTAGGTAGTCACAAAGATGTGTAATGCAATGCTTAGATCAAAGGATGAGGTCTCTCTAGAGCAAGCAGCTGTGGACACAGCCAACAACTGAACACTGAAGGTGGCCTGCTTCGAGCAGAGGGTTGGACTAGATGACTTCCAGAGATTCCAGCTTGAAACTCCCAAACCAGACTGATGCTGCTAGTATTTTGACTTTGGCTTCTCTTTTTAATGCTGGCTTATTGCTCTGGTGCTAGAAAAGTATTTGCAGCTTTCCTGTGTATTCAATCCCATTTTTGTGGCCAGTTTACAGCCATTTGTTTTCATGCCAAGATTATCCTTTTACTTGAATAATCCTTCCTTCTTCTCTGGTACTTTAAGTACATCAAGATAATCACATAATTGTAATACACAAGTAATTCACTCTCTCTTCATAATCAGAGAATCCCAGACTGGTTTGGGTTGAAGGGACCTTAAAGCTCATCCAGTTCCAGGCCCCTGCCACAGGCAGGGACACCTTCCACTAGAGCAGGTTTTCCCCCTGTTCCAATCTGAATTCCTCTCTCTTGTATGACAGCACACAGAGCTGCTCTTGGACCAACTTTTCTCTGTGCTTTTTCCCAGCTTCACAATGGCTCATCACTATCCTTTATCAGCTATTAAATCCCAGCTTCTTTTCCTCACTCATTTCCAAGATGCAGGAAAACTCTCAGCATCCTTCACAGTTTTCTCCTTCTGGCTAAAATCACAGCCTTGCACTTTCTACTGCTGCATCTCATCTCATCTCTTATTTCTCACTCTTCAAAGGCATCGATCCTCTAAGATATTCCACTTTTGTTCAGCACCACATTTAATTATCACACACGCTTTTTGTGCCAAGGTCATTAGAAAAAGGCTTTAAGTGAGATTACTCGTGGGACCAGAACTGGAGGAACTTGGTATTAATTCCCCACTGCACCAGCCCTGATGTCAAAACACTCCATTGTCACCTCACCAGCTGGGATTTTTTTTGCCTGTCTTCCAGTTTGCACATACCATTCTCAGCTGAAGTCCTGCTGAATGAGATGGACAGCACTTCCCTTGTGTAGAAGCTTGGTTTAGGTGAGTCCAAAAGGTGTCAGACAGCTTGTGAAAGCGAGCAGGAGCTCCCAGCAGATGGAAGGATGACAGCCACGCTGGTCACACATATTCCTTCCATCTCCAAGTGCCCAGGGTGTCTGGATTGCACTGAAACTTTTTGCCTCTCCTTTGTCAAATTGAAAATAGAGTGATTTATTCTTAACAGTTCATTGCTTGACCCACCTATCAAACCTCATCATGGAATGGTTTGGGTTGAAGAGTCCTTAAAGGTCATCCAGTTCCAACCCCCTGCCACAGGCAGGGACACCTTCCACTGGAGCAGCTTGCTCCAAGCCCCTGGGTCCAACCTGGCCTTGAACACTGCCAGGGATGGGGCATTTGCCACTTCTCTGGGCACCCTGTGCCAGCGCCTCAGCACCCTCACAGGGAAGAACTTCTGCCTTAGATCTAACCTGAACTTTCCCTGTTTCAGTTTGAACCCATCACCCCTTGCCCTATCACTCCAGTCCCTATGAAGAGTCCTTCTCCAGCATCCTTGTAGCCCCCCTTCAGACACTGGAAGCTGCTGTGAGGTCTCCACACAGCTTCTCTTCTCCAGGCTGAGCAGCCCCAATGTTCTCAGCCTGGCTCCATACAGGAGCTGCTCCAGCCCCTGCTTGTCCTCGTGGCCTCCTCTAGCCTTGCTGCAACAGCTTCATGTCCTTCTTATACTGAGGACCCCAGAAGTGCACACAGAGCCGCAAGTGGGGTCTCACGTGGGCAGAGTGGAGATGTCTCAATGTCTAAATCAGCTTTTTTTAGATGCCAGTTTGTGGTTCTATTGCCATTTCACACACATTATCACAACACTATCTCATTAAGCCTTTTGGGGACCAGTGTAGACTCTTCTTGCCTTTTATTCCCCTGACAAGTGGATACACCTTTCCTGAACTGGAATTAAAGTATCTACCAAAAGAGATGCCCCTATTTGGTGTAAGTTGAGGAAAAGAGGAAAGAGCAATTCAAGCAGGCCTTTATTGTCTACTTGATGCTGCTCATTTTGTGCATCAAAGTGATGTGAATCAGGTTTTACCCAGAACGTTCCAGCACAAACTGATAACCCTGTGGGTTTCCACCCCCGTTGCCCACATCCTTTCACAGCTGCAGCTTTGCAGAAGAGAAGCTTCATTCCTGTCAACAGCAACTCTTCAGCTTGAAGCTCTTCAGATTGTTTGAGGCCATTTAACATCAAATCAAGGGTAAAGCCATTCCCTCGCCTCTCCAGGAACTCCTGCATTTCTATAGTCAGCCCATTTAGTTTAAGGGAACTTTTACAGAGGCCCATCACGCAGCATGGAAAGGACATGTAATCCCTGTTAGGGATTTAAAGGGCATTGCACAGAGAGCCAGTGACTTGTTCAAAGTTACACAGGAAGTCTGGAATAGGATTTAACTCCTAGCATCTTTCCCCAGTCTCTTTATCACCTTATTTTCTCTTTGGGGAGTGTTTCCATGTCTGCAGTGTACCTGTGTGACTCAGGGAGCCTCTCCTTGCTGTCAGATGTACTATTTCTTCTTTCCTTCCAGTGGCCCTTTTTGTTTAGGTAGACACATCCTTCCTGGGGAGCTGAGCAGTCTCCACGCCATGCCTTGTCCCATACCAAGACTTCCTTATTCTACATCTCAGGCTCCACAGGCAGAGACACTGAGCAGAAGCACTGAAAAGAACTAATAAATTGAAGGAGAGGAGGAGGAGAAACCTGTAAATCTTCAAAGGATGATGAAAGGGTTCTGCACTCTTTGCTGCAGACCTGAGGGAAGAGCAATCTCAGCCATTTCAGGCAGTTCTGATGCTGCTGATGCTTTCTTGTTGTGCTCGCAGCTTTGAAAGCAAAGTGAATGGAAACCCAACATCATCATCCAACTGCAGGGCAGGGTGGCAGGCCAAACCTTACCTCACCTCCAGCAGCATCCATCAACCACGGGAAGCTCCTTAGAGCCTGCCTGGAGCACCTTTGCCCAGCCTCTGTAGAGCAGCTGTAGTACCTGTGCTGTTCCTGTCCTATTCCAATGCTCCTGTCCTGTTCCACTGCTCCTGTCCTGCTGCTGAGAGTGCTCCAGCAGAGGGGGCTCAGAAACTGGTTAAGAACCAGGAGCCGTTCTGTTGGAATGGGCAAACCTAAAGAGAAGGAAGAGGAGGAAGGATGTTAGAGATGTTACATGCTTTTAGATCATTCCTTCCTTCTGAGTTGGCAGCCTGGACTGTTTATAGAGCAGCACTAAGTAAAAGGCACACAATTAAATGCTTGTTACAGTCACAGACCCCCAGACACCTCAGATACCACTGTTTCTCTGCCTCTATGCAGAGTATATTCTGTTCCCATAGAGGTTTTCTTTCATTTCCACTGTTTTCAAGGCACTTACTGATCAGTGACCATGCGCTTTTCACTTACAGCTGCTATTAGAGCAAGTCAGCCAGAGATCAGCTGCTCCTCAATACTTTTTCCTCATCTCCTTTTCTACCCATATTCCTCTCCAGGCTTTTATGGCACTTGTCCCACCCCCCCACCCCCCCCCCAATAGATGAGACGAGCAACAGACTGTCTACCAGCTCCTTTTTGCAGCTCCAAAGTTGCCTTCTTTCACTGGAGTGGAAGCTGAGAAAGCTCCTTCAGAGAGATCCAAAGCACAGATCCAGGGAAAACAAACTATCCAGGAGGATGCAGTATCTAGGAGGATGTAAATACATCTCTATGGTAAAAGACAAACAATAC